AACAGCAACACAACGCACAACAACAACAACAACAGCAACAACAAACAACGGAACAACAGCAACACCAACAACACCACCAACAACAACACCAACAATGTCACCACTACCACGAACAAGTGTTCGTTGTTGTATTCATTGTTTTGCCGATCGGCGCAGGCCCCCCAACACCCCCTTCCCCCCCCATGCAGTAGATCTTGGCTGTTGTTTGTCGCCTGTTTCGAACGGGTAGAGCCCCCAGAGGCCGCACTCTTACAAACAGTCGCATTAAGCAGAGACCCGGAGCCAGCCCCCCTTCCCCCTTTTTCCGCCCAATGTCGAAACGCCGAATAAAACAACGCTCACCAACAACACCAACGACAACTTCAACAATACCAACGACAACACCACCACCAACAACAACAGCAACAACAACCGCAACAACAACAGCAGCAGCAACAACAACATTCCGCACCGCGGAATTCTACTTCAGCCACGCACCCAGGGACAGTGAATGACCGGTCGGCTCCCTTACTCTGACAGATTCGGAGGTCCGCGAAGATCTCTCGGATCGGCTTGTCGTCGTCGTCGTCGTGGTGGTCGTCGTCGTCGTCTTCGTCGTTCGTCGTCGTCCGTCGTCGTTCGTTGCTCGTCGGGGTGTTCCAGCGCGGGGGCTCCAGCGCCGACCGAGGAATCCGCGCGGGGGCTGCGGGCAATACGTCTGTCCGTATCCACTGCAGCTTGGAGCGTCGGGCTCTTTTCCCCATGAAGCCCGAGGCGCACTGAATATGGATGAAAAGAACTGCCCCCCTATGGAGGATCGAGTTCTTTTCATCCATGATCCAGTGCGCCTCGGCCTCATGTGGCGCCCCCTCCGAGAAAGCCTAAGACGCACAGTATGTGGATATTAATCTTGCCAGCAGGGACCTTCGAGTGTTTCACTCTGTGTCCCTCAGTAGTTCTGGGTCCCCAGAATGCCGGTACCTCCTGCCCCTCCCCCGGACTACAGGTACCACCCCCCGGACTACAGGCCCCCCCCCCCGACTGCAGGTACCCCCCCCGGACTACAAATACTGCCTCAGGATTATAGTCCTGTGGGGGTACTTGTAGTCTGGGGGAGGGTTGGCGTGCGTTGGCGTGCGTGCGTTGGCGCGTGAACACACGCCCCCCCCCCCAAGACTCCCCCCCGAACTACAGGTACCTTTCCCCCGGACTACAGGCACCCCTCCCCCGGAATACAGGTACCCCCCCCCCGCCAGACTGCAGGTACCCCTCCCCCCCGGACTACGGGTAAATTCCCTGGACTACGGGCACCCCCAGAACTCTTGAGGGACACAGAGCAGGTTTACGCCATTCTGTTTGTCTCCCTACACGTCCCCAGCGAGCCAGCATGAGCTCCAGCCGGGAGGGCGCCGCCGTGGCTGCCCCCGGCGGCCCCGGCGAGGCGGGCCCAGGCGGCGCCAAGGGCGGGACGCCGCGGCCCTCCGGAAGAGCAGACGCCAGCACGGGCACGGCGACGACGACCACGACCACGACCACGACCCTGACCCTGACCCCGACGGCCACGACGATACGCCAGCCTGCCGCGTTCCCGGATCTCGGCGGCGAGCGCGGCAAAGAGGGGAAGTGTGGGAGTTTTTTCCGGGTGCGAAACCAGGGCAGGTTTTCGGGCGTCTTCGTCGGTTCCAGGAGGTTTTTCCGGCCCCGCCCTCTCGGCCAAGGCCCCGCCGCCGCCGATCTCTCGCCCGCTCCGCCGCCCTGACCGTACCTCGACTTTTGGGAGCCAGCACTCCCCCCCGCTGCGCGCCTCTGCTCTCCCCCTGCCTTGGCCTCGCTCGCCCGCTCGCCTCGCCGCCCTTCCGTTCGGGGTTGTTTCCAACGACTGAACCGCGCCGAGGGTTTTCGTTTCCCGGGGGTGCCCGGATCATCCGGAGCGGCCGCCGGAGACCCGATTTGTGGCACAAAAACGAAGCGGCGAGGCGTTCCGGATTGCCATATAGGCCCATCAAAGAATGGTCTCAGAATTTCTGGCGGTTTACGGGAAAGGTTCTCAGAGCATTTCTGGCTGTGGCCGTTTGGTTTGAATCCATCGTCTTCACGTTTCAGGAGCATTGTTTTCATTCGTGTGCCATGCTCTTGTTTAAGAGAAACATCTCGTCTGTAGAAATACCGGGACAGTCTGTCCCTGCCAAGCTGTTGCTTTCCCAGATCACTGGGTTACCCGATTTTACCGGTCGCGATCGGTAGCGAACGATCGGCGTTCCAAATCGGTCGCGACGGACCGCGACCAATTCCAAGTCCGGTCGCGACCGATTTTGAAGGACATCGGTTGCGACCGATAATGGAATGTCATGGTCGCGACTAGAATAGTCCAGCATCCTGTGATCAGGGCCGCAGGCATCCAAATCCAGCGCCCGACACAGACATCCAACATGGAGGTGTTCGTAGCTTTCTGCCTCGCTGGTGCCAGCAGCGGGCCAGATGGCCGTCAATATACAGCCGAGCATCTGACAAAGAAACTTCCTCCCGATCAGATGGGCCAGCCTCTCTTAACCAACTTGCCGGAAAGCTGGCTCAGTATCTCGAGCACGGTCGCCTTCCAACGCTGAACAAAATAGGCATTGGCCAATGCTTGTTCCCAACCATCCTCTGGCGTTGGGTCCTCGTTTTGAAGAGACGGTCCCCGCGTTCGTTTCCTCTTCTCCCCCTCTTCCCCCTCCTCCTCTCCACCGCCCGCATAAGTCCCCCGCGCCCATTTCGGCACATCCCTCACACGTTTCGTGGCCCCATAAAAAGCTCCACCGACGCCCCCAGCGGGACCGTCCGCATGCGTCCCCCACGCCCAATTTGGCATTTGCACCCACCCAGTGCAGCGCTTCGTGACCCCATAGGGAGCTCCACCGAAGCCCCCAGTGGTACCGCCCACATGCGCCCCCCACATCGAATTTGCAGCGTTCACCCACCCAGCACAACGCTTCGTGGCCCAATAGGAAGCCCCACCGAAGCCCCCAGTGGGACCGCCCGCATGCGTCCCCCACACCCAACTTGGCATTGTCACCCACCCAGCACAGCGTTTCGTGGCCCCAAAGGGAACTCCACCGAAGCCTCCAGTGGGACCGCCCGCATGCGTCCCCCACACTCAATTTGGCATTTTTACACACCCAGTACAGCGTCTCGTGGCCCCATAGGGAGCTCCACCGAAGCCCCTAGTGGGACCTCCCGCATGCGCCCCCCACGCCCAATTAGGCATTTCCACCCACCCAGTACAGCGCTCCGTGACCCCATAGGGAGCTCCGCCGAAACCCCCCGTGGTACCGCCCACATGCGCCCCCCACATCCAACTTGGCATTTCCACCCACCCAGCACAGCGCTTCGTGGCCCCATAGGGAACTCCACCGAAGCCCGTGGGACCGCCCGCATGCGCCCCCCACGCCCAATTTGGCATTGTCACCCACCCAGTACAACGCTTCGTGGCCCCATAGGGAGCTCAACCGAAGCCCCCAGTGGGACCGCCCGCATGCGTCCCTCACGCCCAATTTGGCATTTGCACCCACCCAGTGCAGCGCTTCGTGACCCCATAAGGAGCTCCACCGAAGTCCCAGTGGTACCGCCCACATGCGCCCCCCACATCGAATTTGCCGCGTTCACCCACCCAGCACAGCGCTTCGTGGCCCCATAGGGAGCCCTACCGAAGCGCCCAGTGGGACCGCCCGCATGCGTCCCCCACACCCAACTTGGTCACCCACTCAGCACATCGCTCCGTGGCCCCATAGGGAGCTCCACCGAAGCCCCCAATGGGACCGCCCGCATGCGTCCACCATGCCCAATTTGGCATTTTCATTAACCCAGTACAGCGCGTCGTGGCCCCATAGGGAGCTCCACCGAAGCCCCCAGTGGGACCGCCAGCATGCGTCCCCCACAGGTAGCTCCACCGAAGCCCCCAGTGGGACCGCCCGCATGCGCCCCCCACGCCCAATTTGGCATTTTCACTCACCCAATACAGCGCTTTGTAACCCCATAGGGAGCTCCACCGAAGCCCCAGTGGTACCGCCCGCATGCGTTCCCCACACTCAATAGGCATTTTCACCCACCCTTTACGACGCTTCGCGGCCCCATGGGGAGCTCCACCGAAGCCCCCAATGTGACCGCCCGCATCCGTCCCACACGCCAAATGTAGTATTTTCACCCACCCAATGCAGCGCTTCGTGGCCTCATAGGGAGCTTCGCCGACGGCCCCAGTGCTACCGCCCGCATGCGTTCCCCCTCCCCCGCCCAGCGCAGCGCTTCGTGGCCCCATAGGGAGCTTCACCGAAGAAGATATTCACAATTGCGGTACCCACAACTTCATATGGTCGGGTCCTTCGCCTGGATAATTTTAAGACATGTCCTTGGAAGCTGGCCCCGTGTTATATCAACTGATCAGTTTCTTGATTCCATTTTCGGCTGCAAACGACTCTGGATGCACAGCCGGTCCTCGGGAAGGGGTCGGGTCTTCCTGGGACCCCGAATCTAGAAATCAAGACGTCGGGTCTCTGGGCCTCCCCGCACCGCCGTGTGCCCTCCCCCGCCGCGCTGGGCTCGCCGGGCGCCGCCAGCAGGGGGTGGGCGGCAAGGGACTCAGCGCCCGCCGGGGAGGTCGCGCAGACGTCTGGAAAGTCTGCAGTTCACCCAGGCCCCCGACGTCATTCAGAGGAGGAAAAGGTACCGATACCTTTACCCTTGCCTCGATTTCGCCTTGTTGGGTTTCCTGGGAGGCCCTCGTCTTTACTGTTGGATTGTCCTCGAGATGTTGGTCAGAACGCATCCCGAGAGAGGTCCGCGGAGTAGCGGTATGGGTACCTCTTGGTTTCCCCACCGACGTTTGTTTGCATGAGTTTTTCGTGACGTGGGCCCTTGCAAGTCTTCGCCCACTCCTCGGCAAGGTCGGGCATGTTCCTCTACAGGAGGAATGTTCTAGAGTAGTAAAGAAATAGTGTGGTAACGATTTTCGTGTTCTTTTGATTATTATGATGTTTTTGTCTATCCTGGAATGTTCTTCCACAGCCCGCCGATAGTAGGACAAGTCGGCCCCAAGAATCGAGTGGCTCTGCGGTGTCATTCATGTCTGTGCAGTTTCTGCTGTTCTGCCGTCGAAGAGCAAGTTTCAGAAGACGAAGCTGTGCTCGTTCTTCCTCGCGGGCCGCTGCAAGAAGCGCGGGAGGTGCCTCTTCGCGCACAGCGAGGCGGACCTAAGGTCGCCTCCTGACCTCCGCTGCACGAAGATGTGCCCCATGGTGATGGACGGGATGGAGTGCGACCAGGACTCGAAGACGAGACACCCACACTGTATCGCGACGTGACAAGAAAAGACGGAAGATGTTTGAAATGATCGGCCTTTGAATGCCCTCACAAGGCCCCGAGACCGTCAAAGGACGATTCAGGAAGAAAAGCGAAGTTTGGGGAATGAGTCGAGACCTTCACTGGCTGACGCTGTGGAAACACCACGATGTCGGGGGCCTGGAAACGGCATACGAGCATCTAGGAGGGAGACACTGACACTGACACAGATATACGTTGATCCCCTGGAAAATATGGGAAAGATGGGAGGTGGAGAGGGAGACGTGTGTCCATTCCATTTATGCGTGTGTCCCCCGGCCCCTTCACGGCAGACAATTCCCGAGGGAGATTGGCGCCCGCTGGGCTGACCGCTGGCTTGCCCCCAGCGGCGCTGCCCCTGTCGCGCTCCCCCCGCCAAGGGACCAAGATCCAGCGCCGACGCAAGAAGTCCAGGCGCACCTCCGAGATCTGACGATCAGGATTGTGGTCGCGTGCTCCCTCCTCCTCCTCCTCCTCCTCCTCCTCCTCCTCCTCCTCGTCCTCCTCCTCCTCCTCCTCCTCCTCCTCCTCCTCCCCCACCTCCTCCTCCTCCTCCTCCTCCTCCTCCTCCTCTGCAACTAAAAAAAAATACAGCACAAAGAAAATCTTACGATCAGGCACGTTTGCGGAGCGCGTCGCGCCGCGGGCTCTGGCCCACAGCGCCTCGACGCGACGCGCTAACCACTTTTGAGTTCCCAGGCGTCAGCGCTCTGATCGAAGGATTGCAAAAAACCCTTCGTTTTTTTGCAATCCTTCGGTTTTTTGCAATCCTTCGGTTTTTGCAATCCTGTGTTTTTTGCAATCCTGGGTTTTTTGCAATCCTTCTTTCCAGCCTGCCGCCCCGCGGAGCGAATCGACACGCTATCCGCTCGCAGGGCATCGCGTGTCGCGGGGGCCGCCGCCGAGACACGCGAAGCGGCAGCTCCTGAGTGGAAGCCTGCCCTGTTCTGCCACTCTGTGCGGCGACCTGCGCTCTGCCCATGCGCCCGGTGCTGCATCCAGCACTCGACGCCAAGGGCGGTAGAGGCAGGGACGGTGATCTTGGACGCAGGGGCCAGGCTTTTTCCCCCGCCATGTGACCCTCGTGGGCCTTCGGACATCAAGAACAGACGAACCTCCAACCCTAATGACATAGTGAAGACGCGGCTGCACTCAGATCCCCGTCCTCGCAGTAGGGATCAAATATCAGATCCCCGCATTCGCATTAGGGACAGCAGATCTAGGCGGTCTGTTTCGATACATCTGCAGGACAGAGCCCTATCCCGAAGATGTTCGGCCTTTCCCAAAGAATTGAGGGGGCCTTTTCGTTGGTGAATCATCGTGGGCCTTGGGGAATGCGCACGCCCACAGATCCGACGACCTGGTTTTTGTTTCAGCACGGGGTCCCAGGACGTGCTGACCCCTTCCCCACATTTTTCTTATTTGTAGATGGAAAGAGAAATGATTTCTCGACAGCTCGGAGGCCCTGCGCGGGCCACAGAGATGCCGAAAGCGACGAAGCACCTGCTCCCTGATTTTGCTCAAGCCGTTCTGGCAGGTTCACGCGGCGCTGCCGCGTGTCGGCGGCGTCGGCGAAGGCGTTCAAGGCTGAGCTCTGCTCTGCGCCTTTTCGCGCGTGTGTTCACCGAGCGGCGCGGCAACGCCACAGGACCCGACGGATCTCAACCTTGAACGATCGGGGCCGCGATCGATTCGGGGTCGATCCATCGAGGCGGTGTCGACAATCCTTGCGCGCGCGCCGGCGCCGCCGCCCCGGCCGTGGCGGTGTTGCCTCTCCTTGTTTGTTCCTATCTAACTTGGAGGGGGGCGCGGAGAGCACGGCGATCGCCCGAGGACGAGTGCATGTTCGCCCACACGCAGGAGGAGCTCCGCCCCGCCGACCCGGCCGGCGGCGCCCTCGAGCCCGCAGAGCACCGGGAGCCGCGGGGCGAGCTGGAGCGGCCTGGCGAGGAGGCCGTCGGCGGCAGCGGACCGGTCGTCAGGGGCAACGGTGGGCCCGCCCTCGGCCATGCGCAGGTCAGAAGGCATAGCAAAAACCGACGGGATTAACAAAAACCCTCGGCATTAAATAAACAATCCGGGTTTTAGCAAAAACAGGTTGTTGTATCCCGATGTGTTTTTATACCCTCGGTTTGGTGTTATACCCTGTCTTTTAATACCCTCGGAAAGGGTACCCATACGTACCCTTCCAAAGTCTTCCCCTTTTCGTCTCGGTCACCTTGGCCTTCATGGCCCTCGTGGCCACCGCTGGGTTCGTCTCCGCACTCCTGGCCAGGAGGCACCCCTTGGAGAGGCCCGGGGAGTGGGTGTATCGGTACCTCTTGGTTCTCCAGTGCAGTGGAGACCCATGCCAAGAAACACCCTGCTGGCCGCCAGGGTGCCCTGGGTTTCTTGGGTTCCGATGGCTTTTCTCAGGAGAGCGCGACGCTCCCGCACCAAAAATCAGTGGACGCCCTGGGGTCTCAGGGTTGGGCTTCTTGTGGAAGGTTTCTTGGGGTCGGGCCTCCACTGTATCAGTACCTCTTGGTGCCCCCAGCATAAGAGTGGGACCTTTGCTGCCGGAGTGTCTGTTGGTGCGGGCGCGCAGGGGATCCCCCTCCTTGGCAGTGGTCTGCCGCGGCGCGGGTGCGGGCCGCCCGGAAAGACCCCAGAATGCCGCGCACGGAAGGTCGCTCTTGCCCCAGGGTTGATGGGCCCACTCTCCACCATCGCTACCACAGGTAGGACAGCGAGGAGGAGAGGGAGGAGGAGGACCTCCCAATCCTCCCTTCTCCCCCGTCCTACATACGGGTGTGGTGGTGGAGAATCGGCCCATCAGGCTCACTCTTGTCGGGGGCGGCAAAGAGGGGGTTGATTACAGGGGGGGTGGATATCATGGCGGGGGCCATGATATTTCCCCCGATTTCATGGCGCCGATTCTTATTCCACTGCGTCCCCGGCCCGCCTCCCCTGGGCCGCGCACGTGCCGCATGATTTGCCCCCCCCCCCCCCCCTCTTGGACGCCCCCCTCTTGGCCGCCATCGATCTTGCGTGTAGCCGACTCCCTGATCACTGATCACTGGAGGCTGGAACGTTTCCGGTCGCGACCAACGAGATCGGTCGTTGCTGATGTTGTCTGAACTTCCAATATCGGTCTCGACCGATTTGCTTCAAGACCAGTCGCGCCCGATTTTGGAACCGGTCGCAATTTGTCGCTATGCGCGCGACTGGGCGCGATTACACTGGGCGCCATGGGGACGACCAAAAGCTTCCGTGAGTTGCTTTCTGAACATTGGGCCACACCCCTTTCGCGTCATGAAGAGATGCGACGGGAGGTTTGGGCAATTCTTCTGCCTCCTGAAGCCCTCGCCTGGCCCCGGGACCGGAAGAAAAGTTGTTCGGGATGGCGCTCCGGTCCCGGGGGAAGGGGTCCAGGCCTTTGGAACGCCACGTTCCCTCCACCTCCACCTTCCATACCTTCCGACCTCAGCGGGATGTGCGGAGGAGTTCATGGAAATTCGCGGAGGCTTGGCGCACTTCAGGGAGGCTCACACAGATCAGATCGAACATGGGGCGTAAGGTTAAAGCGGAAGGTGCGGAAGAATGAGGGGGAGGGTTGTGAAAAGGCCGCGGTGCTCTGGGATCTTGGATAAGGTGGGGGGTTGGCGTCCAAGAAGGGTGGGTGAGGACCAGGGGTGTGTGTGTGTGTGTGTGGATGCCATGGCACTGGGGCCTTGATGTCTCCCAGATGGCATGGCCAGGGCTCATTTCGACCATTCCGATTCGAGTCGATTCGATTTCGATGGCTTCCGATTGCGATTATTTTCGGCTTCGGATTCCGATTGCTCAATGGAGGCCTACGAGCCTGCCGATTTCTTCCAATTCGAACTTTCCCGACTTGGCTGCCGATTTGCGCCGCTCCGGTTCACTTCGATCGTCAATTCAATTTCTCGATTTGATTCGGGGTTCTCCTGCATGGCCATCCTCTTGTCTTGTTTCCACACGCTGCCTGGCCCCCCCCCCGTTCGCGCCCGTGCGCCTGGCCATGATGCGCACCATCCCACACTCGTCGATAGGCTCGGGGGATCGGGAGCCTCGAGGCGGGGGTCGATGAAAGCGGGGATCCGCCAGAGCGCCGGATCTCGCAGGATCCTGCAGGGCCAGGGGTGCACTGACCTGCGTGCAGGATTCGGCAGGATCCTGCAGGGTCTTGCAGGGTCCTGCAGGATCTCGAAGGATCCTGCGAAGCCCGAGTGACCCGGGTTTGCATTGACCAGGGTCAGTAGATCCCCGAGGGGATGCATCGCCCCCCAATCGCCCACTGATCGCCGATAGGGACACGTTTCACCCGCCATGCACAGGAGCGCGAGGTTTCGCTATCGGGAGCCTGTCCACGCTCCATCGGCGATGTGTGGTGTATAGCTGATTCCAGGCCCGCCCCCCCCCCCTGAGACGGTCCCCCCCCCTGTCGTTTCCTCTCAGAGGTCGCCGCCGACGACGACGAGGACGACGACTTCTGCTTCGAGTCTCCCGCCGACGGCTTCAAGCGCGGCCAGACGGAGGACCCAGAGAAGGCAAACCTGTTGACATCGAAGCAGCCAAGACGCTGATGTAAGAACCGTCCCGGGCTCCGGATGGGCTCGGTTTTTTTCGGTCCGCCCTTTGCATCGGCGTCACCCCCGCATGCTAACACTGTGTGTGCGTCGCCCCATCCAGGAGCGACGTGAGCACCGAGAAATCTTGTAGCACGTGCGTCGTGGCGGGCGCTTTCTGGCCACCCCGCTCGGGAAACGATCTACTGCCAGATGGGTATACTATATGTTCGGGCTCGGACGCGCGCCTCCAAGGAGGGCATATATCAGGCGATCGCAAACATGGATCAAGGGGGCGTGGATTAGCGACGGGCCCCGTGTCCACGGGCAATCGCGGATTTCCGCCGCCGAACGAGGCGGCACCGGCCGCATTCTGGAGAGGGCACCTCTCCCGATCCATGGATTCGGCGACCGCGCGCCAAATATCCATGGATCGCTACTCCATGCTTGCGCGCCCCCGAATATAGTATTCGTGTGTCTCTGTGCGCCCCTTTGGCTTTGTGTGGCGGGGCTGGTCTGTGGCCGAGGCCCGCCGTCGCCACAGAGCAGCCCCGTCCGTTCCAGTACCTACCTTACGGTCGGGCCAGGGTACAAGCTCGAGGTCGGTGTTCGGGGAGGGTGCCCTGATGCTCTCCGTGCTTGCTGGATGTTCTCGGGCATCCCGGGGAGGGATTAGCCTGGCATGCTCCGTGTGCTTTGGCCGGCGGAGGGTAGGGTCGCATGTTATTCGTGTTTGTTGGATGCTCTTGGGCATCCCAGGGAGGGATTACCTTCGCATGCTCTGTGTATCTTGGGCGGCGGAGGGCCTCATGTTCTTGAGGGATGTTCTGCTGGCCCAGGTCCGACTGTATGGTACCACGTTGGCTGTACCTGTTCCTCGCCGCCACGGCAAATGTGCATCCTTCTGATGGGGCCGAACCCACCATTGGAGAGACAGAAAGAGAGGCCAGGGGCGCAGCGGTGCCTGTGCCATGCTGCCCCCCCGCGGGAGGACCCCCTGGCGCTGTGCGTGCGCGTCATGCGCGTGAAGAACACGTTCATCACGATTGACGAGGAGTTTTCTATGGTCGGAAACTCCGGGGAGGAAAAGGTACCCATACCGATACCCTCGCCCCATGTTCGCCCTGTTTGGGTTCTCCTCGGAGGCCCTCGTCGCAACCGCTGGATTCGCATCGAAATTTCGGTCAGAACGCACCCGATGAGAGGTCTGGGGAGTAGCGATATCGGTACCTTTTGGTTTCCCCATCTACGGCCGAGCATCTGCTGAAGAAACCCTCATCCGAACAGCTTTGCCAGCGTTGCTTCACCAATCTGGTGGAAAGCTGGCCCATTTGCCGAAGCACGTTCGTTCCCCCAGCGGGAATCAATAATTGCTCAGGTGTTTTGTTTAAAACCTGTTGGAAATTGGCCCAGATGCCTTAAACCATGGCTTTCTTGATCGTGTGGTCGCCTGTAATCGAACGGTCGTATAGTTGGCTGTCCGTGGCAGAGCGGTCAGTTTCCTCGCTCATGTTCTCAGCTCCAGCCATCCCGTGGCTGGTCCTCGCTCCGCCCGATCCTGTCTCAGCTCATGTCGTCCCGCCCCTGAGCCACAGCTATCCCTGAGCACGACGTCTGTAATATCATCGAGATCCCCTCGTCAAGTCTCGCACTCAGGCATACCACAAGACAAAGACTTCGGCAGTGGCGATGCGTCCCGATTCTGTGGCGCTCAGTGTTGCCCGTGGGCGACCTACAGGAATGGCAGGGCAGTCGTTCCCTACGGTCGGACCGAGGTATAAGATAGAGGCCAGCTCGGGGATGATACCCTGGTGTTCTTCGTGCTTGTTGGATGTTCTTGTGCATCCTGGGGAGGGTACACGGGTGTTGCTCGGGTTTGTTGGATGCGCTTGTGCATCCTGGGGAGGGTACCCTTGGATGTTCTCAGTGTTTTGGCTGGCGGAGGGTCTCATGTTCTTGATGAGGGGGGCGCGCAATGGGGGGGGGCGATAAGTGGGGGGGGCAGCGAGGGCTCCAGAAAAGGGGCCCAGGGGCCCTTTGAGGCCCCAGCTGGCCCTTCCAGGGGCCCGACAAGGGCACCTGTCCCCCCCCCCCCTCACTCATTGCCCCTCGTTGCTGCGCGCCCAACTCGAAGGATGTTCTTCTGTCCTACTGGTCCGGCCGTACTCCAGGAGACGGCGCGGATGGTGAGCTGTCGGAGGCCGGCGCGGCGGACCTCTCGGGCCGGCGGCGCCTGTGCCTTCCCCGGCACCTCCTTCGCCGGGGGGGGGGCGCGCCGGCCTGAGAAGGGGTGGTGTTAGAGAAGGTGCCCCTGGCCCAGGGTGCCCCTAGCCTTTCGCTCAGTGTGGGGCCCCCTGGGGTGAAGTCGGGCACGTCCCTCTACAGGAGGAACATTCAAACATAGTAGGAGACAGTTTGGGGACGGATCTGGGATTGTTTTTTGACTATTCTAAATTGTTTTTCCAGGAGGACGTGCCCGACGTTACCCTGGGGCCCTCTGGGTCTCGTGAGGGTTGCCCTGAAGGCCGTGACGGCCTCCTCGGAAATCCTCGGGGCACCTCAGGCCAAGGGCACTTCTAGCAACACCCAGCTGCAAGTGGGGGGGCCTAGAGAGTGCCGACCCGAGAGTCGGGACGATCGACATGGGTAGTCATGGAGACAATGAGTACACGATCCAACAGCAGTTCCTGCTCCTTTTGAGCAGGACTCGCTGCCGATGTCGCCGCGGACGCGGTCCATCCGAGACAGAAGACCGCCTGCCCAACAGCGGTCGCTGCCGCTGTTGGACCACATTTGTTGTTGGGCAGCGTGCCCAGCTTTTCCGTACCCCGCCCGGGTGTCCAACGAGAGGTGCGGGCAGGCCTCCCATAGTTGACGCCCCCCTGGTCATTGGATGTCTCGGACCTTTTCTTCCGTTCGGGACAGACGCGATCAGTCACTACCGGTTTTGCTTCTAATTCCGGTATCGGTGGCGACCGAGTTGTGCTGCAGAATCGGTCGCGACCGATCTTGGACGATCCTGGAATCCGTGGCGATCCGTTGCGACCGATTTTGAGTGCTGGTCGGTCGCTACCGATCGCGACCGAACAAAATCGGGTATCCAATGACCTGGGTCCCGTTTGTGGCTCGCACAACTGGCGCAGAAGTGGGTGAGGTCCGGTCGCTCTTTTTCGCGACGCGGCAGTTTCTCTACTGCGACGGGTCTCGGGCCCGCTTGCTCCTCCGCGAGGAGGAGGAGGACACCGAGGACAAGGACGTGGACAGGCAGCACCGCAGGCCGCTCCGCTCCAGGTCCGCCCCGGCGCTCGCGCGCCAGCGCTCGGAGGCGCCGCGCCCGCAGCGCAGGCCCGAGCAGGCGGCGGCTTCGCAGGGCGCGGACAAGGCCGTGGGTGTGGGCGGGGGGAGGCCTCAGGGGAGGAATAGGTACCCATACCTCTGCCCTTCGCCCTTTTTTCCCCTCGTGGTCCCTCCTGGGAGGCCCTCGTCGCCACCGCTGGACTCGCCTCGAAACTCTGGCCAGAACGCACCCCAGGAGAGGTCCAGGGGGCAGCGGTATCGCTACCTTTTGGTTTCCCCAAGGCCGGCGTTTGAGCCGTCTGGTGGTCTCGCGCTGGCAGGGGCGGGGGCCAGTTCTAGGCCTTCTGGATTCTGGGGTCGGAGCAGATTGGGGGCAGAGGGTCGCGCCACAGCGCCGAGGCATCGCCGATGCGGCTCGATGTGCAGCCCGATGTGCTTCACGTCGACGTCGCCGATGCATCGCCGACGTCGACGATGCAGCGCCTGTGCGCTGCCGATGCATCGTCGATTTATCGGCGATGCGTCGCGATCCTCCGACCCCATCCACCCGACCCCATCTGGGGGGCTTCTACCAATGCAAGCAGGGGTCAGCCAGAGCGCCGGATCTTGAACGATCCTGCAAAAAACAAGCTAGCGCGCAGGGTTCTGCAGGAGATTGCCTGATCCTGCAAAGCCCGACTGACCCGTGTTTGCGCTGGCCTTTGTCAGTAGATCCCCGATGGTCAGAGGTATTCCAGCTGTGTTTCCGACCTGCAGGAAGGGCGGACAGGTTCGAGGCTCTGGGTTCGGGATTGTTTTTGCTTGTCGGCCTCAAGTGGCAGTTTTCGGGTCCCTTGATCGTCAAAAACGGATCCGGGGTGAAGAATTTACCAAATGGACCCGGGGAGGTGTCCACGGATTGATGTTGAGCGAATTTGGCATCGTCCCCCCCTGCTGACCGATTTCCGGGGTCCCAACCAGTTCAGGCCCCCTGGACGCCTCCAACATGGGAGCCTTGTATACTCGCGTAATTCCGTCTTTGGAGCGCGTTAGCGTAGATGAGCGTCTGGTAGTCGATGTGGCGTCGATTAGCGTGGAACGTGGAATTAGCATCGACCCGCGTCGATTAGCGTCAACTCGCAAGAGCCAACTAGATGCGCAGAAGTTCCGCAGAGTGTGCGCACAATGGAGGTCGGGAACGGTCGGCGGGGGCGGTGCTGGCGGCTTTTGAGGCGCGCTTTTTGGTCCCACCCGGTGTGCCCTAAGTGTGCGGTTCTCGCTCTTGGTGTCACGTCTCAACCTGCTCACTTTCGTCTCTTCCGTCGATGGCGCAAGCGGCATGTCCCCTCGGCATCAGCACCGCCCGTCGTCACATGGATGGAGCACGCATAGTGCAAAGCCCGCGGCGAGCAAAACCCGTCCCGTGCCTCCACCTCTGGTTCCGGCCCCTTGCTTGCACTCGAACTCGTACCCTTTCGCGTTCAGGACCCAGGCCCGCTCACACATGGAGTTCCCTCATTCAGGCTCACTCACATTCAGGCCCAACACGCGCGGACTCACTCGCATTCACATTCGCTCAGACTCGGACTTCCCCACTCACTCACATTCAGAATTCTCCACACCCAGACACTGAATTCAAGCATTCAGACACGCTCGTACTCTGACTCGGTCAACCAGACTCATGTATATTCAGATCCACCTACACTCAAACTCACTGAATCCTGACTGACTCATGCTCAGACTCACTTGCATTCGGACCCACGCATACTCGGACTCGCTCACTCATTGTCACTTTTACTTATGCAGGTTCACTCACACTCGAGCTCCTGTACCGCGATGGAGCAGCCATGGCATTTGGACCACCCAAGGGGGGGTTCAGCCACGGGTAGGTCACGTGCTCGTCCGCCCCATTTTGCGGTGATGTCTCAGCCGAAGCGCCCGTTTGGGAAAGTAGATGCGTGTCTTTTCAGGGCACCATGGTCATCGCTATGGTGGAGGCATGGCGCTCGGACCGCGCAAGGCAGGGACGGACAGGGATGGTTCACGGGCCCTTTCACGCCCAGTTTGTGGAGATGTCTCTGGCGAAACGCCCGTTTGGAAAGTAGACGTATTTCCCATCAGTGCACCATGGTCACCGCGATGTAGCAGGCATGGCATTCGGAGCGCCCGCAGCGGGGACGGTCAGAGGTGTTTCACTGGCCCGTTCGCGCCTAGTTCATGGGCTTGTCTCATGCGAAACGGAACGCCCGTTTGGGAAAGACGGCGCGCGTCTGTTGGTGGCCCCATCGCGGTCGCGATATAGTTGGAATGACGTCCTGCTCACCCATAAGGTGTGTCGACCAGAGGTGTTCCACTGGTCTGTTCGCGCTGACAGTGTGGGGATGTCTTACGCGAAGTGATACGCGCACACACGTAGTTTCTCACGGTCCCATGGTCACCGCGATGTAGACTGCATTCGGACCACCCAGTGGCAGACGCCAGGAGCATGACACGGCTCTATTTGCGACCAGATTGTGGGAGTTTTGCAGGCGCTTGAATTGCAGGATCCCACCACGACTAGTACTCAGACCCGTTCTCATTCAAGCCCGCCCGTTCCCAGGGATGCCAATATTCAGCAGCACACAAGCTCATCTCACCTTGGCCCGTTCCCATCGTGGCGCTCATACGCAGAGCCATTTACACGCAGCCACATCTACTCGGACTCGCTCGCACGCAGGCTCACTGAACGAATGCCGAGGTGCCACGTGTGGTGGTCTCCGTGCCGAGTTGTTATTTGGGCGGCTTCATGGGGCGTCCCCGTGGCCACGGCTGGACCCACGTGGACACTGGGAGGGTCTTTGGGGCGGTTTTGAACGGATCGGGGTCGGCGGGGCGGGGCAACGGCCCTCGGAGAAGGCACGGGGGCCGTTTGGAAGAACTCCTGCGCTCCGAGAAGGCCCAGGAGGCCTCTGCCGGCGTGCTCCTCCAAGCAGCCCCCCAGCCCTATCCGGAGGGCCGCCCCCGCCCCGCCGTCGCCCCGGCCCAATTTCTGTCCTACCAGGAGGCCTCCATAGAAACCCCCTGCCGTCTCAGGAGGCCGACCGCGCCCTCCAACCCCGCCCCCCCCCCGCCCCCGAGGGGACGCTCATGACCGAGTCCCAGACCCCTCCCAGGGCTCATCCTTGCCAGGTGGTCGAGCTGCGCCCAGCTCTGGCCACGAGGTCGCCCCAGGAGGGCAAGTGGGCGAGCAGCGCCTCGGAGTCCGAGCGGGCGGGCCCTTCCCCAGAGGTGGAACTTCCCCTCGACCCGCTCCCCCCTCTGTGCGCCATCGCGCCCGACCCCTGGCGATTCCCGCGGCGTGGACCCCCGTAGGTCTCAAGCGATTCATCGGGACCGGTTCTTCGTCCTGGGTCGTCCTCTGACGGCCCCGAGGCTCGGCAGGGGCCCCCCAGAGGCTGGAACTGCAGTAAACTGTCCGCCGTGGCTTTTGCCACGGCTTGCAGGGGTCTGGGACTAAGCGGACGTTTTCTTTTTCACCCCAGGCAAGTTCACCTGCATGGCATCTCGCCACTTGCTCCCCCCCCTCCCCCCCTTTGCGCCGCCTTTTCAACCAGCGCTGATCCGAAAAGGCGTGCACGTGAGTCCCAGCCTGCTTGAAGTCCATTTGTCCTTTCGGGCCTCGGCACGTTCCCCCCCTGACCATTGAATGCCAACGCCTTTGCTTCAAAATCACTTGTTGCTACCGTTTGTGCTTCAAATTCTGGCATCGGTCGCGACCGATCTTCAAGATGGGTCGCGACCGATCTTGTCGGCCGCGATCGATTGCGCCCGATTTGGAGTGCCACTCGGTCGGCACCGATCGCCACTGGTACGGTTGGGGCGTTGGTTAAGGAATGTCCGTGGGAGGCTTAAGACCCTGGAGGAGTCCTTAGCTGATGAGGGCGGCGGTGATACCCATGGCCAAGGCTCAATTGGCGCTCCACCATCTCTCATACCTGAATTCCTTGTCCAAGGGCTCCTTGTGTAATTCCTTCACCGTATCTGAAGATCTAGGCCCCCTCCGCGCCAGCAGCAAAGCTGCCGGAACCCGTACAACAAACATGCTTTCCCCAGAGGCAGTTTTCACTTGTGGATTTGGGGCAAGTTTTATCTGCATGGAATGGAAGCTGGGGGGACGGGCGGCGTGGAGAGGCCCGAATGGAGATCTGGACTCTGCACGCCCTTCCGGCCCAGCGCTGTTTGAAAGGGGGGGCGACATGCCATGCAGGCAAACTTGGCTGGGTCTCAAGAGAAACAGCTCCGCAGCCTGTGTTGGGGTTCAGCTCGAGTCCGCCGTCGTGCCGATTGGCGTCGACACCAGCGCGGGGCTTTGAAGGTTGATCGCCGCCCGCGGCCCAGGGTCGGACCATCGTTGAGCGATCCAGCCTATTCTGAGACGGCCGATCGCTCAAATTCGAACGATCCCCTCGGTGTCAGTAACCAACGCCGCGGTCGACACAACGTGAACCAGCCGTAGCGCTGCTGAACTGCACCTGGCGTTCGGTCGCGATCGGTAGCGACCGATTGGCACTTTAGATCGGTCGCGACGGATCACGACCGATCCCAACATCGGTCGCGACCGATACCAGAATGTAAATCAAAATCGGTAGCGACCGATCTCAATGGTCGCGGATGGGAAATTCCAGTACGGTGGGCGCGTCGGTTGAGGAATATACCCAGAAGGCTCCAGACCCTGGTTCCTTATCAAAAGGTTCCTCACCAATGGCCAAAACCTCCCGTAGTGATTTTTTTCACGACGTTCTCATGTTTGGACTCAACGAGTCCCAGTCGCGAAAATGCTAGTATCCAGTGGTCAGGGCCGCAGACGTCCAAATCCAGCGCCCAAAACAAACATCCCATACGGATGCATTTGTAGCTTTCGGCCTCCAGGGGCCCACAGCAGGCCCCGGGGCCGTCCACATCGAAGACTCAGGATGGAAAGCCGGCCCTGGGGAAGGGGTCGGGTCTTCCTGGGACCCCGAACCCAGACCCCAGACGTCGTGTTTTTTCCAAAACGTCGACCCCCAGAGATCTGGACCCGCTCTTCATCCTCAGTCGTCGACGGCCCCCAGGCCCGGTAAGGGCCCCCGGAGGCCCACACGAGCGAAAACCCTCACGTCGTGATTTTCGTCACCACGCGAGGGGGTCTGGGAATTTAGCCGTCGAGACGTCGGATGTTTGGGCCCGTGCTCCGCGAGTCCCCGCGAGGGCCGCGGCTCTGCCGAGCTGCCCGGCCTGCAGCCCTCCGCCAGCCTGCCGGGCCTGCAGCCCGCCGCCCGGCCCCACCTGCCGCCCGCGCCCCCCCCCGCCGCGACGGAGCTTGCGGGCGAAACTCGGCGGCGAGCCTGGGGCGGTGGTGAGGATGAGGATGAGGATGAGGGTGAGGGTGAGGATGAGGATGAGGATGTGGATGAGGATGAGGATGATGGTGGTGATGATGGTGCTGATGATGATGTTGTTGATGATGATGATGGTGATGACGATGGTGATGCTGATGATGATGATGATGATGATGATGATGATGATGATGATGATGATGGTGATGGTGATGGTGATGATGATGATGATGGTGATGATGATGGTGATGATGATGATGATGATGTTGATGATGATGATGATAATGATTGGGATGGGGATGAGGGTGATGATGATGGTCATGATGATGATGATGATGATGATGATGATGATGATGATGATGATGATGATGATGATGGTGGTGATGACGATGATGGTGACGATGATGTCGACGATGGCGATGGCGATGACGATGACGGAGGCGGCGTCGGGGGCCGATATATGGCCACCGCCCCTGCCCGCGTATCTTGTGCCGGACCAGCCTGTTCGCGTGGGTGGTGTACAACCATCGCGTCCCCAGGGGACGCCAATTGTGTACACTTTATTTCAAGCGCGAAGAAGCCCGGTGGCACAGGGGAGGGAGACGGGGGGGGGGAAGGGAGGGGGATGGAGGGGGGAGAAACAAGCTGGAGCAGCTCAGCCCGGAGCTGCTTAGCCCAGATGCCATTTATGTGCACAACCTCCGTTGCGCGGTCTTGTACCAGACCAGCTGGTTGGTGGGCGAAGCTCGGCCTGGAGCCTACAGGGAGGACAGACCGACTGTGCAAGCGTGTTTGGTTTGAGGTCCTGATCTGGCTTCACAGCACAGTTGCAGAGTATATTTGTTTTGAAGTCAGATCTGGCTCTCCAGCAGCGATCTACTCTGCAAGGGTGTTTTGTTTGATGTCCGATCTGGCCCCCGAAACAGCAACACGACTGCAGAGCACCTCTTTGTTGAAGTCTGACCTGGCTCCCAGCAACAAAAAGCACGCTTCCAGAGCAGATCGGGGTTTCCTCCGTGCACGCGAGAGGATCGGAGGACATAGCGCGCCTCAAGACGAGGGGTCGGCCTTCCTGTCGGCCCTCGGAGGGGGGAAGGAGGGCCTTCGTCGCCACGGCTGGACGCAGCTCGCGAAACTGGTGCGCCGGGACCTGCGGGGGGAGGACAGCGCGTTCTCATGCGACGAGGGGTCTGCCCTTTTCGTGGGCCCTCGGGGGGAGCTCGCGAAACTGGTGCGCTGGGACCTGCGGGGGGAGGACAGCGCGTTCTCATACGACGAGGGGTCTGCCCTTTTCGTGGGCCCTCGGGGGGGGGGGGGGCCTTCGTCGCCACGGCTGGACTCAGCTCGGAAAGCTGGCGCGCTCGGTCCCTGGGAGAGGTCGGGGGACCCGTGCTGGATGCACGAGACAGGAGGCCACCTGCCCAACAGCGGCCGCTGGTGGTTTGGGACAACATTTGTTGTTGGGCATTGTACCCATTTTTTCCGTAGACATTTCGGGCGTCCAGAGGAGTCCTCAGAAGGCACCAGGGCCTCTGAGAAGACCCGCCGTGCTCTGATGAGAAGGCCCGCCTCTTCTCACTTCTGCTCCTCGGCGCGCCGCCGTCGCTCACGCCCTGAACAGACATGAGGACGCAGGCTTCTGGCAGTGTTCGGCCTCATGGGGGACCGATGTTGTGATCGGTCGTGGCCCCCTCGCGATTGATTTGGAGTGCCCATCGGTCGCTACCGATCGCGACCGAACAGATCTGGTGTCCGATGATGCGGGAGCGTCCAGGACTTCTCTCGAGCACAGACCCCCTCGGGCTGCGGAGAAGTCGCGACGGGAGGCTTCCGGCTTTCTCGGCCTCGTGGGGGGCCCTCGTGGGGCCTCCGGGCACCGTCGAGAGACGGCTCGGCGCGAAAAGCCGGCCCTGGGAGTGAAGGGCCGGGGCTTCGGGAACCGCGGCCTCAGGCGTCGCCACCCTCTCCCCGGGTAGTCTTTCGCTGGAGCGCACTGTTGATAGCCCACCCCAAGTCTTCGGATGCTGGAGTTGTCCTGTCGCGCACGACGAGAACGGTCGCTACCGATTTGGTTTCAAACTTCGGTATTAGTCGTGACCGATCGGTCGCGATCGGTGGCGACCAGTCGCGACAAACTTGGGGATCGGTCGCGAATCGGTATCCCATGATCTGGTCGGGGCTGGTAACGGGCCGGCAAGCGGGGCTGTCTTCGCCGACACTGGCGCGCAAACTGCCCGCGTAAGGTCGCACGTGAGCGCCCTCGTTTCCAATGTGGCTTGTCGCGCTGGCGGGCCGCGTAAGGCACCGCGTGCTATGGTCGCTATGCCATCTCGCGTGAGACCATTTCCCTCTCGTCGCCCATATGTCGAAATCGAGGGAAAATGTTGGGATTGGCAAAACAGATGCTTCGGAGATTTGTGTAACGATCCGCTGCCTCGCGGACCGGGCCTCTGGGCCGCGACCCCGCGGATGCGGGAACGTTTTTTCGCGGATGTCCTGCAAGGAGCGCGCCCGCGCGACCGCGCATCCGCGGGATCGCACCCCTGGAATCCAGATCGCAGGGCGTGTGCTCTCAGACCCCCGGCGCCATGACTCTTTCATAAGCGTCGACCCCCAGAGTTCTCGACCCCTTTCCTGGTACCAGTGTTTCACTCCGAGTCGTCTTTTGACGGCCCAGGGTCCAGGAAAGGGCCCCCTCGAGGCCGAACACCTCCTGTCCTGATTTCATTGCCTGAGGGGGTTTGGCATATGGATCCGGATACGGTAACTAGGTCCGCGTCGTTTCGACCAGCGGCGACCCCGCCGCTAGCGTTCAACGGTGAACGCCGCCGGCGACCCCAAATGTGTCGATGCTGAACGAGCAGACGGTTCGGAAACGACAGCTCGTTCAAGGTTGAACGACCCCCGCGGTGTCAGAAACCAACGCCGGGGTCGGCACGACACGGACCTGCTGTAGGAGGGGGAAGAAGAAGAGGAGGAGGAGGAGGAGGAGGAGGAGGAGGAGGAGGAGGAGGAGGAGGAGCAGGAGGAGGAGGATGAGGAGGAGAAGAAGGGAGGAGGAGGAGGACGAGGAGGAGGAGGAAGATGAGGAGGAGGAGGAGGAGGAGGAGGAGGAGTGGGAGGAGGAGGGAGAGGAGGAGGGAGAGGAGGTGGAGGAGGAGGAGGAGGAGGAGGAGGAGGAGGAGGAGGAGGAGGTGGAGCTCGAGCGCGAGGGCGCGGATGCGGTTGTTGTCGCCGCTCGGGAGGAGCCGCAGCCCGCGCCGCGCCCCCCGCGGCCGCCCCCCAAGACGATGGGCCCGCCCCAGCAGGCCAAGGCGCCTCACAGACGGCCACTCGGCGGCGGCGGCGGCGCGGTGGACCCAGGATGAAAAAAAAACCCTCGGGTCATGACCAAAAATCGCGACGGGAGGGGCTTTGAGCTATCTTCAGTCTTCGGGTGCCCTCACAGGGCTCCGGGACCGTCAACAAAGGAGGACTCAGGACGAAAGAATCAGTGCGGGGGAATTGAATGGGTCGAGACCTTTCCCTGATCATTGGATACTGGGATTTCCCAGTCGCGACCAAACAAGACGTGTATCCAATGATCTGGGTTGGGGGTCGGCGTCCTCAAAAAAAGTCCTGCCGTCGGGGGCCCGGGGGCGCGGCGGCGGCGAAGGCGGCGGCGGTGATTTGCATGCGCCCGGCCTGGCCAGGCTGGGGAGGCACCGCGCACCGGCGTCTTTGGTCGGGGGAGGAGTGCACACCTCCCACCCACTCGGATCCTTGAAAGCTGGAATCTTCCATTCGCGACCTACGAGACCGGTCGCTACCGTTTTTGCTTCAAATTTGCTTCAAAAAATCGGTCGCGACCGATCGGTCGCGACCGATCGGTCGCGATCGGTGGCGACCGGTCGCGACCGAGTTTTGGGTCGGTCACGATCGGTCGCAATCGGTCGCGACCGATTTGGAGTGCCGATCGGTCGCTACCGATCGCGACCGAAAGAACACTGTTACCCAATGATCTGGCCACCCCCTGGCCACGTCTCAGGCTCTGCGAAACTTGTCATGACGATTTAGATAATGCCGCGCCCCCCGCCATTTTTTCATGTGCCCGGGTCAGGAGCGCTCGCCCGCAGGCGTTTCATCAGTTTTGAACATTTCCGTGCTCGTGCCACCGTTCGGCGACGGCCTGGGGTTGGTTCCAGCGAGCTGCAGGGCCCGATGCGCGGGGCTGTTTCGCAAGAGCGGCGCGGAGAGTGCACCCCACTTCCACCTGCCTTCCGCCCTGGGCAGGGGGGATCAGGTGGGGGTGGGTGTGGGAGGTGCCTTCCTGCGCTCCTGCGGTGGGGCCCTTCGTTGAGGAGTGTGCCCTGGAGGCTCCAGATTGTGGAGCAGGGCTGGACCTCATCGCTGTCTTGCTGGACTTGGGCTGTGTTATGTCTCTCCTTGCGGCAGGGAGGTACACGAAAACAGGCAGAGCAGAACGAAAAACAGTGCGTAAACAAAACGAACAACAACGCTCAGGGCCAGCCCTGCTCTGGAGGATGCCTTGGCTAAGGAGGTTGGCGGCGGCATCCCTGGTCGATCCTCAGCTGGCGCTCCAGCGGCTCCTGCCGAAACCGGGTTCCTCACCCGGTGGATCTCGGATTCCTCTGGAGTCGGTGTGGTGCTTCGTGCCTCGGGGTGTGTGGGATGGGTGTGGTTTCTCCTCCTCCTCCTCCTCCTACTCCTCCTCCTCTTCCTCCTCCTCCCCCTCCCCCCCCTTCCCCCTCCTCCTCCTCCTCCTCCTCCTCCTCCTCCTCCTCCTCCTCCTCCTCCTCCTCCTCCTCCTCCTCCTCCTCCTCCTCCTCCTCCTCCTCCCCCTCCCCCCTCCTCTTCCTCCTCCTCCTCCTCCTCCTCCCCCTCCCCTTCCCCCTCCCCCTTCCCGCCTCCTCCTCCTCCTCCGCCTCCTCCTGGTTTCGACTCGCTGTGCCGGCATCTGGGGGGAAGGGCGAAGCGACACCAACACCACCTGGCGGCTACCTCTAAGTCGGGCGTGCTCTCTACAGGAGGTATATCAAAAAATCGTCAATCGTCAACAGCATTGTCTGGGGACGAGGTGTGGACAAGTTCGATTATTTTGGTTAATGTTGTGATTGTTTCCAATTTGTTATCCGAAATCCGCCTGTAGGGGGACATGCCCGACCTAAGGCTTCCTCCAGCGAGGAGGTCCACGATGCCTCCCCGAGCTGGGAGCTGGGGGGACGTCTCCAGCGAGAGGGGGGGTGGGGACCACAAAACACCGGGGGGGCCATCCCTGGACCCTCGCGCTGGTGGTTCCTGGTGGTGTTGATGTCGCTTGTCCTCGTTCCTAGAAGTCGAGTCCGCTTTCACTGCTGGACCACGTTATACTCGCCCGTGCGGCGCCGTCTCGGGGGGGAGTAGCTTCGCCGCGGCGGTGACGGGCGACGCCATGAGGGCGATGAGAGTTGGTTGCTGGTCGTGCTGAACCTACAGTCAACCCGCATAGTAAGGATTGGCAACCTTCCCAGGGGTACCATTGCATCCTTGCCTCCTCGGTACATCCTTGGCCACTTTCGTTGGCCGCGCCCCGCTCGAAGAGCCTCGCAACAGCCTTCTAAGGCCCTTGCATCCTTTTCGTGCGTCCTTATGACACGGGTTGACTGTACCTTGCTTGTGTCTTTGGAAGGATCGTGCGACGGTACTGGTCGTGCTGGACTTACCTTGTTCAAGGGAAGAAACACCACCAAAACCCCGACAACTGGCGTTTACTCAACGGCCATTGGCGTTTACTAAACAGCCCTGCCCTGTTCGATTCCTTCCTTGGATGCGTGTGCTAAACGTCTTCGCTTGTCGGATTTTTTAGTTGGGGGGGGGGGGATTTGTTGACCTCGACGTCTGTCTCTGGAAGAAATCGTACGACGGCTGTACTTGGGCCGCGGGGTCGGCGACCCAAACATGCCATGTCCTGATTTCTGCAGTACGGCATCCCCAAGAGTCCCGACCCTTTCCTCAGAACCGTTTGCCATCCTGAGTGGTCATTTGACAGTCCCGGGGCTCGGCGAGGCCCTCCAGAGGCCAAAAAAGATGCAAATGTTGCATCTGTTTGTCCGTTCAGGAACCGAGAGGGTCTGGACCTGGGGGTCCCAAGTCAACCCGCGCCTCCCGCCTCATGCGCCCGCCTGGGCCTTGAAAACGTGTTCCGACATGTTGGAAATTGTTTGTCGCCGTGTCCATATGTATACCCAGATGGATGCATGCATGCACGCATGCATGCATGCATGTATGTATGTTTTTTATGTAAGTGCATGCGCGTGCATGTGTGTTTGCATGTATGCATGTATGCGTGTATGTATGTGTGCATGTGTATATGCATGCATGTGTTACTTGTGTATGTATGTTTGTATGGATGGATGTATGCATGTGAGTGTGTGTATGTCTGTGTGTATGTGCGTATGTGTGTATGCAGGTGTGTAGGTATTCATGTTTCTATGTATGGCTGTCTGTCTATCTGTATGTGTGTTTGCATGCATACCGGCTGTATGTATGTATGCCCGTCTGTCTGTCTGTCTGTCTGTCTGTCTGTCTGTATGTATGTATGTATGTATGGCTGTCTGCCTGTCTCTATGTATGGCTGTATGCCTGAGAGATAATGTTCATGTATATGGCCTGGAGCACCTTGCGGCGGCGGACGCTGAGAAAGTTTCGGTTGCAATTCGATTGTAAGCTAATGTTCTGCGCCTGTTAGTTGCCGCCATTGAAGCAGAAGTCCCCTTTCCGCTCGAGAACCCTCGGTCTTCTCGCCTGTGGCTCGTCCCAGGGCTGCTAAATCTAGCCCACACGGCGAAGGCTGATTACTGCCAGCATAACGCTCCCTGGAGAAAGTCGACAACCCTTCTGCTTTTCAATTGGCTGCCAGCGCGGCCGTCCCTCCGCGTGTGCACAAGTTTTCAAAAAAGATGCAATGTCACAGGTAAGAGTCACATCACGTTGAAAAAAACAACCCTCTCGGCGTGTTTTGGACAGCGAGGGCGTGCCCATACCCGCCGGCGCTCTGCAAAGTGCTTGCAGAGCTGGTAGTGGCCAAAGCCAAGACACTGTGAGGCAGTGGGTCGGGGCTCAGAGTCTTGTGTCACGGTCGCTCTGTCTCGCTGGCCCGCGCACATTGGCGCTGGTCCGCACTGCCCGACATTCGCTCTCTTGAATTGTCTCTATGCACTGAGACGTGCCAGAGAACATGAACCTTGGCAGGGGGAAGAGCTCTGATCACGCACAGCGCTTGCACGATAATGATCTCTCGTTCGTTTGACTGCCGCATGTCGCAAACCTATGCTCAAGCTTGTTCCGGGACCCTCCAGCCGTCCCCATCTTCCACCTGTCTGGGCGTCTTTTCGCCCCCCCACGGGGCTCAGCGTCTTGTATCACGGTCGCTCTGTCTCGCTGGCCCGCGCACACTGGCGCTGGTCCGCACTGCCCGACATTCGCTCTCTTGAATTTTCCCTATGCGCTGAGGCGTGCCAGAGAAAATGAAACTTGGCAGGGAGAAGAGCTCTGATCATGTATGTGTGTACGTTTGTATGCATGTTTGTATGCATGTATGTATGTATGTATGCATGCATACATGCATGCGTGCATGTATGTATGTATTGATGTATGTGTTTAGTTCTGGTTACGTATATGTGAATATACATGCATATGTATGTGCAAATCGCCGCTCGTTCAAGAGTTATGTATGCAGTAGTTCTGTGATCGATAAGACAGACTTGACTGGGCCTTCCAGCAGGCGCCCTCGCTGCGGGCGCCCCGGCCCGCAAGCCCGCGGGGCCCGGGCGCCGCGGCCTGGCCCCGCCTCGGCGGCGAGGGCCGCGTCTTGCCGCCGCAGGACGCGGCGGCGGCGGGGCCCCCCGCCAAAAAGAGCTCTCGCGCGTTGACGCCCGTGTGGGCCACAGGCTCGTTTCCATGGGGAGGGGGCGAGGGCAGGAGGGAGGGGGAGGACGAGGAAGAGGGGGGAGGGGGAGGAGGAGGGGAGGATGGGAGGAGGGTGGAGGGGAGGGGGGGAGGAAGGAGCCAGACGATGAGGGCCCGATGAAAGGGGCCCGGGCGCGCGGATGGGGGCGCTCCTCCCGGGGTCCGCTGCGGCCTGGAGTTTCTGGAGTTACCCCTTTCGAGTACGGCATCGGCTTCGAAGGAGAAATGGAGCCAAACACAGCACCGCCTCCGGCGCCGCCCCTGGTCGCCAGGAAGGGGGTCCGGCGCGGATCCAAGAAATCCGCGCGGAGCGCCACAAGATTATGTTCATGCTTTTACAGAATTGATTTACCCCCGAATTGACGTTCCCGTCGAGCCTATGAGAAACATGCAAATCATAGTTCATATATCTACGGAGCATTGCTGGCATGCTTCGCACAGTCGACTGGCAAGTCATCTTGGGGTGAATCGATTCTGCAGTCGATCCCCTACTCGACCCTTGTCCCCAGGAGCCAGGGGCTCAGTGGATATGGACAAGACTCCGGCCCCTACAGCGGCTAGGCTTTTATTCCTATCCAGTGCGCCTCGGCCTCTCGGCGCCCCAGAAAGTGCAAGGCGCAGTAGACATGGATGTGCATCTTGCCCGCAACCCGCTCACGGGGAGGTGGGCTCATCCTGAACAAGACAAAGCGACGGGAGGTTTGATGCTCTCGGGGTGAAGAACCTGTCCCGGGGAAACCGTCGGGACTTCCAGTGTCTCCGTTTCAAAAATTCAGGGCCTCGCATTGGGGAGCCAATCATGGGAGCCTTGTGTACCCTCGCAATTCCGTCGCTAGCGTGCCCTATCATTTTTTAGCGTCTGGTAATCGATGGGACATCCCCGAATTGGCGTCGATCGGCGTCGGTTCGCGTCGCTTTAGTGTTGATCAGCGTCGATTTGCAAGAGCTAAGAAGGTGGTACAGGAGGACCCCATGAGTTGCCACAGCTATCGCATGTTTGGGTCAGCCAGGCTTCAGACGGTGCTAGGACGAGGATGAACCTATCCCAGAGCGTTCCGGAACGCTCTCTGAGCGTTCCAGAACGCTCTGAGAAGGCCGCGGCGCCCGAGACATCCTCCAGATCCGCCCGATCTCAGAGATTCTCGCCCGATTTGTTCTTCGTCCTTCGTCTTAAGGCTCCGATGCGGTCTGTGAGGCCACGAGGCGCATGCCAGCGGCACAGCTTGGGGGAAGGGCCGCGGGGGGCACGAACAATCGGTTGCGCAGTTGCTGGTCTCGGCCCCGCCGCCAGGCTCTCCTGGAGATGCATGGGCGCCGTGAAAGTCATTCGGAACGATCGGAATGGGTACGGAACGAGTGGGTACAGAGTCCGGCAGCAGTTCCTGTTCTGTTTGAGCAGCACTCGCTGTCGGAGTCTTCGCGGCCTGTGTCCATTTGAGACAGAAGGCCGCTTCCCCAGTAGCGGCCGCTGTTGGGCATTGTGCAATGTTTTTCTGTACCGATGTTGGGCGTCCAAAGTCACCTGCGTAAGCTGACTTGCGAGCCCCATGCTTGCTGTCCCCAGACCCCTTCGCGTTGCGAGAAAATCGCGACGACAGGTGTTTCGCTATTTTCGGCCTCGGGGGGCCCAAACTGGGCCTCGGGACCGTCAAGCAATGATTCAGGATGGAAAACCAGTCATGGGGAAGGGATCCAGACCTCTTGGGGTCGACGTTGTGAAAGAGTCGCGACGTCGGGGGTCTGCGTCCCCGACTTTTGTCTGCCACGCGCAAAGAGGGAGGTTAGGGGGAGGGGGGAAGCTTTCTTAGAAGCGTCCCTTCTTCTTAGAAGGCCTGGGCCTTCTAAAAGAAGCAGCCTCCTAAGAAGCCGTCCCCCCTCCCCTTACCCCCTTGTGCGGCCCGAGTACGATCAGCACAGACGCGACCGCGACCGCGACTACGACCGGACAGTGAGTGGACGGGGTCGGGGCCTTCCTTTCCTCCGCCCACTCATTGTCTTCCTTATCGTCGTCGCCTTCATTGTCCACCACCTCCTCCTGGAGTTTTCCAAGGGTGCGCCTGACCAGAACCTCCAGAGCAATCCAGTCGTTGCGTTGAGAAGCCCCAGAAGCCCACGAGACAGAACGGTTTCAAAAAGCCTTCATCCTTTTACGGCGTCGTCGTCCTCCTCCCCCAGACCCCCGACGCCATGATGTGTCAAAACGGGGACCACCAGAGGCCTCGACTCATTCGCCGGGACTTGTTTTTCATCCTGGATCGTTCGCCAAAATTCTGCTTGCTTTTAGGAGTTCTCATTTGTTGTTCAAGGAGCTGGGCTCGTTTGCCGCCCCGGCTGGCTTGTCGCCGCCCCGTTGCCGTCCCGTTATTGCTCTTCGTTGCCTGTCGGCACCTCGTGGCGGGCTCGTGTGACTTCCCAGCTTGAGGTCGCCCCATCGCCGCCCCGTCCCCGCTCATCGCCGCCCGCGGCCGCCGCTTCGTCGCCGCATGCATTTCGATCGTTTTGCGTTGCACTGCACAGTCGCATTGCGTTGCGCGGTGATCGCACCACATGGGGTGCAGCACGTGGAGAGCACTACGTAGCTCACACCGCACATCCTCTTTTCTAAAACGGTATTAGGAAACCCCACCCCCTCCCCAGGTCGGACGGTCAAAGAACAGCACGCGGGCCGCGCGCGCGTCGGCCGTGCGCGCATGTCGAATTCTTTCAACAACCTTCATCGCCGACGCGAGGACACCGTCATCGTTATCGGCGGGCGTGATCAACATCGGCGCCTTCATTGGCCTTGCCGTCGTCATCGCCACCGTCGTCACCATCAGCGCTACTCTCAGATTCGTGTCTACGGTTGTCGGCGTTGCCATGATACCGCGCCCGCCCAAGTCACCGACTCGCACTGACGTGCCCGCTGGGAAGTGCCCAGCGGTCATCGCCACCGCGGCCGCGTCGGTCGCGCCAAACTAGCTGGCCGCTGTCGCGCGAGCATGCACGGGCTGGCGCGGCCGCAGAGATGCACCAGCCACCGCCAAGCACTCATCGCAATAGCCGCCGCATTAGCTTTCGCAAGCCAAGTTTATGGGTGGGTGGGTGGGATGCTTGCAAGAGCATGGAATTAGTTAACTCGTCTGTGAAAATCAATCGCACCGCATATAATGCACCTCGCAGCTTGCACCACATTGCTCACATCACCTAGATGAGCACGTTAGCCCGCATAGCTTGCAACACATAGCTTACACAGCATAGCTCGCATCACATAGATTTCCATACATTGCACCACGTGTGTTGCACTGTGTAGCTCACACCACATAGATCGCACCACATGGATTGCGCCACATAGATGGCACTGCGCAGCTGATTCGATCTTTCCACAGATACTGCACCACGTAGATTGCACCACCTAGTTTACACCACGTTGCTTGCACCACCTAGCTTGCACCACAAAGCTTGTACCACACAGCTAGCACCACGTAGATTGCACCACCTGCTATGCCACAAGCCACTATTTGGGGCCCGCGCTGGCAAAACGTAGTTCGACGGTCCTGGGGCCCTGCGAGGGCCTCCAGGGTGTCGAAACCAACAAGGAACGTCTCGTCGTGTTTTTTTCCGACGACGCGAGGGGGCCCGACCCCCCCCCCCGACAGGAGAGCGCCTCCGCCCTCGGTGCCCTGCACATGGGGTACGGCATGGCGGCCCCGCGCGAGCCGACCGCCCCGTGGGGAGACGGGGGCCCGTGCTGGTGGCAGAAGGCGCGGGCAAGACTGATATCTATATACGACCACGCTTGAGTGATGAGGAGGGTAAGGGGAGGGGAAAGACCAATCGATCTCACCATCGATCTTCGGATCGATCTTACTGTGGATCCCCTTCGACCGATCCCACTGCCGATCTCGCATTGTGAAGCGACCTCAGTCGATCACACAATCGAGCTCACAATCGATCCCACTGTCGATCTCGCAATCGATCGCAAGATCGACCTCACTATCGATTGCACTGTCGATGCACAACGATCGATCTCCTTATCGATCCCACTGCCACTCGCACAATCGCTGCAACTCCAGGTCTCACTATCGATCCACTTATCGATCTTACTACCAATCTCACCACATCTCGGTCGTTACCGATCTCACTATCGATCTCATTATCGATCGGAGCACCATCGGGACCACGGCGGGACACCGCGGGACACCACGGGACACCGCGAGACACCACTGGGCCACCGCTGGACACCATGGGACACCACGAGACACCATGGTGACACCGCGGCGAGACACCGCGGGACACCATCGGGACAACGCTGGACACCACGGCGGGACACCCCCAGCCACCGCGCCCCCACCGGAGGGCCCGACTTTTGCATCCAAAACGCCCCAGAGACGGCGTGGCCTTTCCTCTAGTGCGCCCACGGCGAGACACCGCGGGACACCATCGGGACATCGCTGGACACGACGACACCCCCAGCCACCGCGCCCCCACCGGAGGGCCCGACTTTTGCATGTGCGTCCACGGCGAGACACCGCGGGACAACACGGCGGGACACCCCCAGCCATTGCGCGCCCACCAGAGGGCCCGACTTTTGCATCCGAGTCGCCTTAGCGACGGCGGGGTCATTACACAGCTTCGCCTCGCCCGCACGCGCGACAAGAACACGAAACCGAAACCGATTTCCCGGGGGGGGGGCATCCGTTCCATGTCGATCTCACTCCCCAGCTTCCGACGTAGCACCCCGCAGTGGGGTGGGTCCCTGGTTGGTCGCGGCGTGGGTCGCAGGGTGGGTCGCGGGCGGGTCGCGCGGTGGGTCGCCGGGTGGGTCACGGGCGGGTCGTGGGCGGGTCACGTGTGAGCGCGACGACAACAACCACAACAACGCAACAACAACAACAACAACAACAACAACAACAACAACAACACCAACACCACCAACAACAACAACACCACCACCAACAACAACAACAACAATAACAACAACCGCACCGCGCGACCCCAGTTCAGCCACGCGCCCAGGGACAGTGCACGACCGTTCGGCTGCCTCACTCTGATCCGAATTCGTCCTGGACTTTCTGGGAAGGGGCGTCACAAGGCCGAGGCGCACCAAATGCGGATCTAAATCGAGCCCCTGTAGGGGCAGTTCGTTTCCAAACCATCCTGTGGTGTTTGGCCCTCGTGTTGATGAGGGATCGCCGCGCCCCCGCCTCCTCCTCCTCATCCTGCTCCTCCTCCCCCTCCTCCCTCCTCCTCCCTTCTCCCGTCGCCCCCCTCACTTTGGCACACCCCTCACACGTTTCGTGGCCCCATAGGAAGCTCCACCAAAGGCCCAGATGCCAGCGCTCGCACGCGGCCGCCGCCCCATTTGGCACACCCCTCACATTTTTCGTGGCCCCACAGGGAGCTCCACCGAAGGCCCAGATGCCAGCGCTCGCAAGCGCCCAACGCACCCATTTTGGCACGCGCCTCACACGTTCTGTGGCCCCATAGGGAGCTCCACCGAAGGCCCAGATGCCAGCGCTCGCAAGCGCCCACCGCACCCATTTTGGCACGCGCCTCACACGTTCTGTGGCCCCATAGGGAGCTCCACCGAAGGCCCAGATGCCAGCGCTCGCATGCGGCCACCGCCTCCATTCTGGCACACCCCTCACACGCTCCGAGGCCTCATAGGGAGCTCCACCGAAGGCCCAGATGCCAGCGCTCGCATGCGCCCACCACCCCCATTTTTGCACGCGCCTCACACGTTCTGTGGCCCCACCGGGAGCGCCACCGAAGGCCCAGATGCCAGCGCTCGCATGCGCCCACCGCACCCATTCTGGCACACCTCTCACACGCTTCGTGGCTCCGTAGGGAGCTCCACCGATTGCGGTGCATACAACGCCGGTGCCCACGACTGCATATTGTTGGGTCCTTCGCCAGTCTTATTTTGCCATCGTCCAGTGCGCCTTGGACTTTCTGTCAAGGGAGAGAACACACCAGAACCCGACAATTGGCGTTTACGAAACCGGCCCGGGCGTTTACGGGGCAGCCCTGCGTGCGTTTCCTACTCGGTTTCGCTTGTCGGGGTGTTTGTCCTGGGGATGGATGTTCTGCCTTCTATTCCTTATTATTCTTATCATTATTATGATTATTCTGACTCGTCTTATTCTTATTCGTCTTCTTATCATCATTCTTCTTCGCACTACTATTATTGGGGAAGGGAGCCCCACTGCCAAGCTGCAGCGGATATGGACACGAGTCTCTCCCGCAGCAGGGCCACGGGGCACAGCGCGAGGAGGGCGACGGCGCGCTCCTGGGAGGACGCCGGGGCTCTCAGGAAAGCTGCCGGCGGCGCAGCGGCCGTCTCGGGGTCGGCGTCGATCCGATCGATGCGGCTCGATGTCGATTCCGATCTCGGAGGGGGGAAACGGTACCCATACCGCGACCATTGCCTCGCTCTCCCCTTTCGTGGCCTGGGTGGCGCTCGTCGCCACCGCTGGATTCGCCTCGCAGTTCTGGTCAGGATGTAACCCAGGAGGGGTTCGGGGAGTCACGAGATCGGTACCTCTTGGTTTCCCCGCGATCGGCTCGTTGCGATGCGATTCTGAGGTGGTGGGGGCGTTGGTTGAGGAGTTTGCCGGCGGGCTTCAGGCCATGGGGGACTCTTTCTCTGATGAGGGCGGTGGTGATACTCACCACCCACCAAACCACCCCAACCCAACCCGAAGGCTCAGATTTGCCCTCCATTTCCGTTTGGGGGGGGTCACGGAACATGGAAAAAACACGTATGGAACCCTTACCCCCCCAACCCGAAATTCGGGCCTTCGGGTTGGGTTGGGGTGATTTGGTAGGTAGTCAGATACAGTCGGACCGAGGCATCAGATCGAGGTCGGACTGGGGAGGGCACCCTGGTGTTGTTCGTGCTCTTTGGATATGTTCTTGTGCATCTTGGGGAGGGTAATGTAGGGAGGTTTTTGGTTTGACCCCTCGCCTTGGATGTTCTGCTCGGTTCGGCTGACGGAGGGTCTCCTGTTCTTGAAGGTTGTTCTTCTGGATGTTCTTCTGGCCCTGGTCCGACTGTATCCACGGCCAGTCCACGATTTGACTTCCACAGGCTTCCAGACCCTGAGTTCCGTATCCAAGGGCTCCTTATCCGATGCCCTCGCCGTATCCGATGTGATTCGGATGTTTCGACGACCCGATGCTGCCCGATGCATACATTGCGTTGTTGCGCATCCTGGCGTAGCTGATCCGATCCGATTTCGACTCCGTGGCGATTCGGCACGATCCGACGCACATTCCGGTTCGTTTTGATTTCCCGACTCGATGCTGACTGACCCTGCCATCAGGGGAAGCCATTTCTTTATTGCTTGGGGCATGACGGGCGTCATGGCCCCCGCTCCCCCCCCCCTCTATGACGTAACGCTCCCCCCTCCAGTGCACTCCGGGCACTGCCGCCGTGCGCATTGGGATCCGCGTAGGTGTCCGCGTAGGAATCCGCATAGGTGTCTGGTCCGCAGGCGTCGTCGTCGTCGTTGTCGTCGTCGTCGTCGTTCGTCGTCGTCGCTCGTGGTTCGTCGCTCGTCGCTCATCGTCGTCGTGCGCGCGGACGCGGCTGGAGCCTATTTTTAAGTCCGCGCCGGTGACGGTAATCATCTGGGAGGGGAGGGGGTCGATGACGTCACGTTTCGCGCCGGCGGCGTTTGGGAATGGTCGGGAATGACGGAGGACGCGTAGCACGAACATGTAGGTGGCGATATGCACCACAACGCCTGTGTACATCACAGTGCCCGCGTGCACCACAGCGCCTGTGTACACCACACCGCCGATGTACACCACAGCAGCCGCGTGCAACACAGCGCCAGTTTGTGCCACCGTGCCTGCGGGCACAGCAGCTCCTGTGTACACCACAGCGCCTCCGTACAACACATCAGCCGTGCGCAACACAGCACCAGTGTACACCACAAGGCCTGCGTGCATTGCAGTGCCTGTGTACGCCACGGCGCCTGTGTGCACAACATCAACCGTGTGCAACACAGCACCATTGTTGTGTATAGAATGTCAGAAGTAATCCTTGTGACAAAATGGGGCGCGTGTGGATTCCAGAGAAAACAATGGAAAACACATCCTCATGGACAAAAGAGCGCCGCTGGAATCTACGAGTCCCCCCGAGTCCGCCCGCATCACCCTAACTCCCATTTGCGTCCAGGAGGCTCCAGCTAAACTGGCCGTCCTGCACCAAGTGGACCGATTCAATCGACCATTCTGCGGTGCACGCTGAGATGCGCACGTGCGTTGCAACGCCAAACCGCACGGCAGGGGGTAAGAAGGAGGAAAAGGAGGACGAGGAGGAGGAGGAGGAGGTGGAGGAGGAGGGAGGAGGGAAACACGTCGCATTCGATTATCTGAACTTTCCTGGCGTGGTGTTTAGTTGTCCGTATCATATCCTGACGTACGTGCGCCTTCTACCTGTCCTATGCACGCAGGCACTGTAGTGTACACCAGCGCTGCGTTGCACGCGGATGCTGTGGTGTAGACAGGCGCTGTGGCGTGCACGTGCGCTGCGGTGCACGCAAGCACTGTTGTGTACACAGGCGTTGTGTTGCACATGGCTGCTGCGGTGTATGTACACCGGCGATGTAGAACTCCCAAGTATTGTGGTATACACGGGCGGTGCGTTACACACGGCTGTTGCTGTCTACGCAGGCGCTGTGGTGCACACGCGCGGCGTGGTGCACGCGAGCGTTGTGGTGCACACAGGCGCAATGGGCAGATCGCCACTTACATGCTGCTCGCGTCGTCGTCGTCGCTCGTCGCTCGTCGCTCGTCGCGTCGTGCGCGCGGGCGCGGCTGAGGTGCCAGAACCACACGGCGGGGGGGGGGGTCACGTTATACCCCCCCCCCGCCCTCCCCCCCCCCCCCATGACGCCCGTCATCGCCGAACAGAAAGAAACGCCTTCGGGGCAACGTGCCGCGAGAATGCGGGTTCCTGGAGCTTTGTCGTTTCCCGGAGGCTTCCCTGCCTCGGGATGCTTTCCGACGCCTGCGCCTCACTGAGGGGCGTCCAGGGGAGCCCAGATCGTCCCGAACGGCATGACCCGACGACCAGGGTGCAGCGGCCTCAGACCTCCTCGCGCCATTGAAAAACGACGGCGTCCGTTTTTGAATACCAGTTTCGCCCTCTGCGGGCCCTCGCCGGGTCCGGGGGCCGTTCAGAGAAGACTCGGGACTGCAGTCGGTCCGGGGAAATGGATCGAGACCTCCTGTGGTATACACGTTGTGAACGAGTCTCGGCATCGGTGGTCTGGGAAAGCTTCTGGCGCGCAAGCGGCCAGCGGGAGAGACGGATCGGCGTGTCTTGGTCCTCCAGGTCGCCCGAGGGGGCGCTAAGATAAGATGTCCGCGCTTCGCGCATCACGGTTTGGGTTAGGTCGGGCATGTCCTTCTGCGGGCGGATCTTGAAGGAACAATCAAACATAGTCAAGACGATTCCAAACTGGCCGAACCATAATCGGAAGATCGTCTCCACATGTTTTGGGTTTTCACTGTTCTTGAGTGTTCCCCCGGCAGGGGAAGCCGTGGACCGGGGGAAAGGACCATGACGTTGAGAGCGCCGTGGAGGAGGGACGGGGCGGATGACGAGGAGGACGAGGCGACGACAAAAATCTTGGGGAGCGCCCCGCCCTGTCGGTGTGGCAGGGCGCTCGCCGAACTTTGAGTGGTTTTCACTGTTTCAGCCGAAGCCCGACTGAAGGCTTCGGCTGAAACATGTTGGAGAGGCAGCCCTGCTCCAGGTCGGCGCGCGCGGGGGCGCGGCGGGCTCTCGGAGGGGCCTGCTTCGGGGGTCCTCTCCGGGAGGCCTCCTGGGAGCCGCCCGTGCACCCCCTCTGGAAGCCCTCGGGGCCCTTCCAGGGGTTCTTTTCGGGGGGGGGGGCGCCTCGGCACCCTCTTGGGGCGATGTGCGGCCCCATGGCTGAAAAAGAAGGGGGCTCGTTCGGCCCCCCCCCCCCCCCGCATGTGGCCCTCTTGGAGCGCCCGTGGGCGTCTCTTGGGCGCCTGTGGAGCTCTCTTGGGGCCCCCTTGGGGCCCTCTTGAACCATGCTGGTGACCATCTTGCGCTCTTGGATGCACTAGTGGTACCGTCTTGGGCCATCTTGGACTCTCCCACGACCCGCGGCCCTCCCCCAGTTCAGATCCAGGGGTCGGGATAGGGGGGCGGGTCAAGCTGCATACAAGCCGCAAGCCGTGCCGCTCACTCCCATCCGCCCTGCCAACGCGTTTGTAGCACCCAAGCCTCGGCATGTTCAGCGGTCGTCTCTGGATGCGCAGCTATTGGGAACCAAAGCACGTGCGAGGTGCGAGGTGCGCCACGAGTGCCCGGCTCGCCTCGCGCGCTAGGTGCGCCAGGTACTCCGGGGGCGTGGTGCGCCAAATGCGCCATGTGTTCCACGTGCGTCATGTGTGCCGCATGCTCCAGTCGCTCAAGGCGCGCCGCGTTCGGGGCACGCGCAGAGAGGGCCTGGTGCGCCCGCGCACGTGGCAGCACGCATCCGGAGCCAACACCAACCCGCAATCGCGGCGGGTGGCCATCATGGTGCTTGGCGAGCCTGCACCCAGCAGGCAATATGACAGCACTTCCGACGTCCTTGTCAAAAACAAATGGGCAGTGATCGCCGGGTGGCCGCGCCTGACCAGATTTCGCCGCGAAGTGCACCTCGTGTTGCTTTTGACTGGGGTAACTAGTGGCTCTGAACGTAGCAGGTAATATGCTAATTCCCCCACCGCCCTATCACAAAACAGTGCGGCGTAGTTGCGTTGCCCCGCGGACATGACCCACGATTTTGTACCAAAATGCATCTCGTATTGCTTCTCATAGGGGTGGTGTGGGTGGGGGCCCACATGGGGCCCGCATGGGTACGGGTCGGTCGCCGATCGCTTGGGGGAGGAGGTGGGCCACTCATAAGGGCCAGTGATGAAACCCATTTCCTGAGTGGCGGAAGGAGACGGCTTGGAAGAGGGAAGCGCCAAACTCGTTGTACCACCTCCGCCCAGGGGTTCGATGGGATTCGCAGCGGATGCAGCCGTGGGTGGCGGCGAGAATACATCCGCAGGCTAAAATAGAGCGACAGGCGATCAAAGGCTTCAAACCTCGAGCACCTGCAACGCTGCTGGGGGGGGTGGGATCCTGCTCGGCTGTCCTTACCATTAGTACGTATGGATTTTGTTGTGACGCGCGTGTGCTCTACCAGGGAGGTGTCAATGCTAAACATGGTATGATGTTTTTCTGGCTTGCTTCTGCGCCGGAAAAGCGCAGTCGTCTCTTCGCATCTCCCCCGCGGGTTTGGTAGGCCAACTGGAACAATAGACTGGCATACAATACGGCAGCTCTCACAAACTGCAGTGTGGCAGACAGGCAGCAACATCCAAACACCTAGCAGTATTCGATCAATTATTGGGTGGGTGACTTTTGAGGGAGCTTGCCCATCTGGAGGAAACGAAGGGGTTCCACCTTGCCCTCCTCTGTCCGTTGCTTCCTATCAGCCTTTTCCGTCGCCCCGTTCTCCCTTGAGAGGGTCGATCGGGGTTAATGCACGGGTCGGCAGGGCGCGGCGGCCAACGTCGCCCCACGTATCAACATCATGATGAGTCTCATCATCATCGTCATCAGTACCAATGCCATCGCCATTATCGTTATAAGTTGCACTACCATTGTCATTCCCGCAGTCATCATCTTTGCCACCATCATCATCATCATCATCATCATCATCAGCATCATCATCATCATCATCATCATCATCGTCATCGTCATCGTCATCATCATCATCATCGTCATCGTCAGCATCATCACCATCATCATCATCATCATCGTCATCGTCAGCATCATCACCATCATCATCATTGTCGTCATCACCATCTGATTATTCATCATCATCGTCATCATCAACCTCATCATCATTGTCATCATCGCCGTCACCATCATCACCATCACCATCACCATCAGCATCGCCATCATCATCATCATCCTCATCCTCATCATCATCATCATCATCATCATCATCATCATCATCATCATCACCATCGTCTTCTCGCCCTCCTCTGTAGCCCGCCCGCCGCCAGGAGGGCGCCTCCATCCCAGGCGCCAGCGCGGCACGCCGCACTCTGGTGGCTCTGGCGGCTCGGGTGGCCAGAGCGGCTCTGGCGGCTACTCAGACGCGGGCAGCGGCAGCTCGGCGGGCAGCGGCGACCCCGCTCCACGAGCCACGAAGGGCCCCTCCTCCCTCTCCTCCTCCCTCTCCTCCTCCTCCTCCTCCTCCTCCTCCTCCTCCTCCTCCTCCTCCTCCTCCTCCTCCTCGTCCTAGCGGCGACTCCGCTCCACGCACGGCATCTGCGGAGGGCCTCGCCTCCGCCCCGACACTTGCCCCATTCTTCGGCGCCGACCCTGGGGATACTGGCGCTGCAATTTTGTCGTGACCGGCGTTTTCGCCCAAGTTTGGGCACGGGGACCCTCGCAGATCGATCGGGCTCAGGAAGTGACGCAGAAATTATGGATCTACAGTCAACCCGCATAGGAAGGAGGGGCAACCTTCCCAAGGGTACCCTTGCGTCCTTGCATCTTCGGCCCATCCTTAGCGACTTTTACCGGCCAACCTCGTTCGAAATGACCTTCCAAGGCCCTTGCATTCTTATCGTGCGTCCTTATGATACGGACCGACTGTAGGGCTCTGGGCGTGATGTTGTTTGCGATGCTGTTTTTTTGCAGCGTCGGACCTCGGAGGGAGATGGCCTCGCATAGCCTCGCGTAGCCTCAGATTGCCATCAGGAAGGGAGATCTAAACCGAGATTGAAGTACGGTTAACCGGGAGCGGTTCTGCGCTGAAATGTGAGTGATTGAGCGCTCGTTGTTGAGTGCACGCTGTGGTTGAGTGCGCGCCGCTGAGTGTACGCGCACGCTGTGGTTGAGTGCACGCTGCTGAGCGCAGCTTGCGCTCAACAGCGCGCGCTAAAACACTCTCAGCCATTCGTGTGGCCCCGGGGAGCCTCGGGGTGGGCTCCGACGAGGCGCGGTGTGTCAGAGAGCCTCGGAGGCAGCGAAAAGTCCTTCACAGTGTTCCGTTGCTGTCGACAGAAGGTACCGACACAGTGGAGACCCATGCCAAGGAACACCCTGCTTGCCTCCAGGTTGCCCTGGGTTTCTTGGGTCTCGATGGTTTTGCGATGGAAAGCGTGACGTTCCCACACCAAAAATCAATGGACGTCCCGGTGTCTCAGGGTTGGGTTTCTTGTGGGAAGTTTCTTGTGGACGGGCCTCCACTGCACACAACTAACAGGCCTGGCCAGGGCCATCTAGGGCCGTCTGGACCCTCCTGGCCTCGGCAAGGAGGGTGTACACACAGGATGGCCTTGATCAGCCGTAGTGGTGGGGTACTGAGGCCTTCGGCGCGTCCGGAGGGAACGGGGTCGAGGGTCGAGGATCCAGGGTTTGGATGTGAGATCGCGCTGACTTCCATCCGAAGTCGGTTTCGCTTTCGGTTCGTGTCATGCGTGACGCGCGTGCGGGCAGGGCGACGCTGCGCGAGGGCGAGGTACATTCCAGCCGTGCTCTGGCACGTGGGCATCACATTGTTCTCCCCACGGCCGCCAGGCGATGGGGTCCCAGTCAGAAGACGTGCTCGTTCCGGGAATACCCCGCGGTGGTCACGATGGTTGCCTCGTGGGTGTCCTGTAGTTGTCTTGTGATTGTCCATTGGTTGCTCTGTGGTTGTCCCGTGATTGGCCCGTGGTTGTTCCGTAGTTGTCCCGTGGTTGGCCCGTGGTCGTCTCATATACTTGTCCGATAACGGTTGTCCCGCGGTTGTCCTGTGTTTGTTCCGTGGTTGCCCCGTGGTTGCTCTGTGGTTGTCCCGTCGATGTCTTGCGGTTGTTTCGCGGTCACCTTGTGGTTGTTCCGTGGTTGAGCCGTGAATGTCCCGTGGATGTCCCATGGTTGTCCCGCGGTTGTCTCGCGGCTGTTCCGTGGTTCCCCTGTGATTGTTTTGCGGTTTGCCGTTGGTTGTTCTGTGGGCGTTTTGTTGGTTAGTTTGATGGTTGTCTCGATTGCTGTTCCGAGGATTGCCTGCTGTTGTTATGTATTTTTGTTGTGGACGCTTCGCCGTTGTTTGGAGCTGTGTTTTCGATGCTTGTTCCGATGGTTGTTCTTGTTGGTTCTGTGTTTGTCTTGTGGTTGTTTCGATGGATGTTCCGATGATTGTCCCAACAATTGATCCGATGGTTCGCCTGTGGCTGTCCTGTGGTTGACACGATGGTTGCTCCATGGTTGCCACACTATGGCTTTATGTCACAATCGCAGTCTGCGATTGGCTTTCTTCTGATCGAGCCATGAGTTGGTGCGCGCACGTATGGCGTAGGTTGGAACATCTAGGATTCGAGTCCAACTCAGCTATACCAGCGGACAGCTGGAATAGAGTCAGGAGCTAGCTAGAAGAGGTAATAGCGATTGGCTGTGATGAGGAATGCGAAGGTTTTAGCGAGACCAGCATCTAGCTAGATCGATGAGATATTCTGACCGTCACACAGATGAGAACGATGGCAGGATAGTGATGCCGATACGTAGTGACATCGACCGACACGTCGTCACATCGAAAGAAAGTTCGATTATCATTTTGTTAGTGGGGTCGGCGGGTATCGAAGATGCCTACGGCAATCACCGCCGCCCCCTACCCCTTCGGAAGTGCCTCTGTGGCCGACAGATGGGCCAGAGCTTGGCCAAGCTATCGGGCCAGTTGTTTCCCGAGTCGGTTTGGACAGACGTCGGGGGACTCATGGGGGAGCAAGAAGAAGAGGAAGGGGAGGAGGATGAAGGAACAACGAGGAGGAGGATGAGGAGGAGGAAGAGGAGGACGAGGAGGCTTTTCCTCGCCCCATCGCTTCTTGACCGCTTGTTCTTCCCTTGCTCGCTTCGTGTCCGCTTTCTCTTTCTCTTTCAGTGGGAGGAGGAGGCCTCTTGGGCGCCTCTTGGGGAACTCTTGGGGCCTCCTGGGAGCTTCGTGGGGGCCTCTTGGATGGTTTTGGGTGGCCTTTGGGGGCTTCTTGGGGGCCTCTTTGGCTGTCTTAGGGCGTTCCTGGCTTGTCTGACGCCGTCGGAAGCTGCCTTGGGGGCCTGTCTGGGTCGTCTTGGGGCCCTCTTGGGGCAACTCAGGGGTTCTTAGAGGCTAACATGGGCGTGTCGGAGGCCTCTTGGGCAGTTTGAGGCCCCTCTTTTGGCAGTCTTGGGAGCCTTTTTGGCCGTCATGGTGCCATCTTGGAGGCCTCTTGGGCGATCTTGGGGGCCTCTTGCGCCGTCCTGAGCCGTCGGAACCCCTAGAAGAAGCAAATGCCACAGTCTTCCAAAAACCTTAGGACAATCAATGAGTTTGGCCTCGTCGTGCCCTCCTGGGAGACCTCCTGGACGCCTTTTGGGCCGTCTTGGAGGCTTTTGGGGGGCCCATTTGGCCGTCTTTGGCCACCTTGAGGCCATCTTAGGCAGTCTGAGGTGTAACCTGGGCCGTCTTGGAGGCATCTTGGGGCCATCTTAGCCGTGTTGGAGGCCATTTTGGCCCGTCTTGGAGGCCCCTTGAGCCCTCTTGGGGCCGTCTTGGGGGCCTCTTGGGCCTTCATGGGGCCATCTTGGAGGACTCGTGGGCCTCTTGGGCCGCCTTGAGCAGTCGGAATGCAGAAAAGAAGCAGATGCAAACAATCCCGCAGAAACCCACGGAAAATAAATGATTCTGGCCGTTGCCTCCCCGCTCTATGCCTCAAATAATCGGCGGATCGGGCGCGGCATGGCCCCTTGGGCCCACAGCCCTCGGGCCGCCTCCTCCTCCTCCTCCTCCTCGCACCTCCTCACTTTCCTCTGATGCCGACGCCGACGACCATGGAGGTGGAGGAGGAGGAGGAGGCCATTCTCCCAAGCGGCCTGAGGCGCCCCTCGAGCCTCCTCGGCGGGCGCGAGCTCTGCGGCATGCGAGTCTCGCTGCCGCTGCACCCCCTCTGTGCTCCTGACGCCATGCGCACCTCGACCCGCGGGACCCACCTCGAGGCCCCCGCCCGAACTGGAGGGGGGTCCTGTCCCCCACTACCCAGCGCTCCTAGCACTGCTCTGTGCTTCCTTCACACGTTGCCTCCTCCTCCTCCTCCTCCTCCTCCTCCTCCTCCTCCTCCTCCTCCTCGCGCCCCTTGGCCGCCGCACTGCCAGCCGTCGAGGCCCCCCTGCGCTCCAGCCTTGGACCTCGTCGGTCCCGGCTGCCCTGCGCGCCGAGCCTCAGGCCAACGCGGCCGCCTCCTGCGCTCCTCATACCATGGTCAGGTCCGCGGCCGCCATGCTGCTGGCTACGCCGTGCGCCATGTCCCTCGCCTCCCACAGATAGCCCTGGAAGGCGTCGCTGTTCCACCGCCCCCAGCGCTGCACCAGCGCCGTGTCCTTGAACGCCGCGCAGAGCGCTGGTGCCCCCCCGATCCTCAGGCTGTGGGAGCCCAGGTCATTCGGGTCGACCCCCTCCGCCACGGCCGACTGCATCACCACGCGCTGGGCGTCCGCCCTCGTGACGAGCCGCGTGTCGTCATAGGCGAAGAGCGGGTCGTACGACTGCGCTCCGGAGAACCTCTCGCGCGCCCACCCCTCGTAGATCGTCGGCGCCTCCACCGCGCAGATGTGCTCGTCGCCCGCCGCTCCTGGTGCTGCCTCGACCCTGAAGTGGTTGCGCGAGTTGCGAGGAAACCCGGTGTTCTAGCGAACGTCCACTCTTCGGGCCCTCCTGGAGGACCTGTTCGAGGCCTCGTGGGCCGTCTTGGAGGCCTCGTGGAGCCTTACTTGGGCCGTCTTAGGCCATCTGGAGGCCATCTCAGGCCGTCTTGGGTGCATCTTGGGCCGTGGTGGAGGCATCTAGGGGCCATCTCAGCCGTCTTGGAGGCCATCTTGGGCGTCTTGGAGGCCTCTTGGGCCGTCTTGGGGCCCTTTGGGGGGCCTCTTGGGCCGCCATGGGGCCATCTCGGAGGCCTCGTGGGCGATCTTGGGGCGATCTTGGGGGCCTCTTGGGCCGTCTTGAGCCGTCGGAAGGCCGAAAAGAAGCAAATGCCAAACTCCTTCAAAAACCTATGGAAAATCAATGATTTTGGCCTCTTCGGCCCTTTCTGGGGGACCTCTTGGAGGCCTCTTGGGCCTGATTTGTGCCTTCGGAGGGGCCTCCTGGAGCTTGTGTGGGGGGGCATTTGGGGGCCTGCTGGCGGTCTGGGGGGCCATCTTGTGGCGAAGGGCTCAAAATATAGGTTCGTGTTTCTGCCTCTGGGGCCTCTCTTGGGCCACCCTTGGGGCCCTATTGGGCCGTCTTGGGAGGTCTTTCGGCTATCGTGGGCCGCCTGTGGGCTCTCTCTCTCTTGGGGGCCTCTTGGGCCGTTTCGTGGCGATCTTGCTGTCGGGGCGCCTATGGGAGCTCTTGGGCCGTCCTGGAGCTCGCTTGAGCATTTCTGAACGCCCTTGGGCCGCTCCCGGGCTCTCTTGGACATTCGGAGGCGCCTCTTGGGACACTCGTGGGGGGTCGGGGGGTGGTCTTGGGGTCCTCTTGGGCGGTCGTGGCGTACTTTTGGGCCGTCTTGGTGCCCTCTTGGGGGCGTCTTGGGCCGTTTTGGCGCCTTCTTGGTCCGTCTTTTTGGGCCAACTTGGGGGCCTCTTTGGCCAGCTTGTGCCGAGATTTGGGGCCTCTTGGGCCGTATTGGAGCGTTGGTAGCCCAGAAAGGCGAGAACGCAAAAAGCTGGCAAACTCATATGGACAATCAATGCCATTCGCTTCTGGGGCCCTCTTGGCGATCCTCTTGGAGCCGTCTTGGGGTGTTTGGGAGCCTCTTGGGCCGTCTTGATGCTCTCTGGGACAGTGCGGAGTGTTCCTGGGCCGTTCTGGGGCTCTCTTGGATTATCCTAGGCGCTACTTGGGACACTCGGGGGTCGGGCTTCTTGGGCCGTCTTGTTTGGTGCTCTCTTGGGCTGTCTTGGGGCCCTCTCGGGGACCTCGTTGGCCGTCTTGGGGCCATCTTGGGGGCCTCTCCGGTTTGTGGTGGGTGGGAACGTTGAAAGCCCGAAAAGGCGATAATGTTAAAGTTCTTCAAACTCGAAGGCCATCAATGATTTCGTCTTCTTGGGGCCTTCTTGCCGATCTTGTTGGAGCCCTCTTGGGGCGTTTCGGATGCCTTTCGGGCCGTCTTGAACCTTCAAGCCATCGCAACCTCTTGGAGAGCTCTGGGGCCGATCGGGGGCCCTCTTGGACCATCGCAGGCGCTTCTGGAGACACTCCCTGGGGGGGAACGGGAGGCATTTTGGGCCGGCTCAGTTTCCAGAGGACTCCACGCGACAACCCCCAGGAGCACCCTGAGATCCCAGGCAGCGCCCGGTGGTCGACCGATCATTCGATCCCTTGATCTCGAGAGCGGTACATCGATAGATCGAGATCCCGATCCGACGCCAGTCGCTAACCGAAAGCTGCACCCATACCCCCTTCAACCTTCTTCTCACCCGATGGGTGATCTTCTCGGTGAAGTTATCGCGCCCCATCTGTTTCGTCGATGTCACTCTGCAGGTGCCCGTTTTGGGCTCCTGGGACCGTCGAACATCGATCCGGGTTGAAAAGGCGGCGTCGGTTGATTTACTTTTGGTATGGTCCAGCGACCCATGTGGATTGTATCACTGAGAAGAGAGGCTGGGAGATCGGGTTTCTGTTTAGGTTCTGGGCGTTTCTGGCGCCCGTGAATTCTCCATGGATTTATTTGGGACCTCAGGGGCCCTCCTGGAAGAAGGGGCTTGCAAGGATACCCACGGCAGGCTGCCCAGGCAAGGCCACCAGACAGCTGACGGTGTGTTTTTTCGTTCAATCCGCGGGCACCAGACGTCTCGACCAATCTCTCGTCCTGACTCGGAGGGAGGAGAAGCGACACGAGTACCACCAGAGGGGGCCACCTCCAGCGAGGAGGTCCACGATGCCTCCTCGAGCTGGAGGCCGGGGATGTCTCGAGCGAGAGGGGGGGAGACCACACCAGGGAGCCCCCCCCTTGTGCTTCTCGCAGCTCCTTGCCCTGGTGGTGCTAGTTGCTAGTGTCGCCTCTCCATGTTCCTACTGGGACGGATGTTCGATAGTTCCGTGGTCTTGGACGGCTCTGGGACGGCAAGGCTCCCAAGGGAGCCTCCTCCTCCTCCTCCTCTTCCTCTTCCTCCTCCCCCTCCTCCTCCTCCCCCTCCTCCTCCTCCTCCTCCTCCTCCTCCTCCTCCTCCTCCTCCTCCTCCTCCTCCTCCTCCTCCTCCTCCTCCTCCTCCTCCTCCTCCTCCTCCTCCTCCTCCTCCTCCTCCTCCTCCTCCTCCTCCTCCTCCTCCTCCTCCTCCTCCTCCTCCTCCTCCTCCTCCTCCTCCTCCTCCTCCTCCTCCTCCTCAAGGGAGGCTGCGAGGCGCCAGGGCAGCCCCAGCCTGGGGCCCAGGCAGGGAAACCCTCGCTCTAGGCGCCCTTTCGGGTCCCTGCCCAGGCGATGGCCTCCCGTACCACTTCGCGGGCGGCGGCGCGCTTCGAGGCCGGGGCGAATTGCACACCGGCCCAGACCCAGTCGTCCCGCTCCGCCAACAGCTGACGATCACCGCTCACCAAACCACCCCAAACCAACCCAACGGCCTCGATTTGCCCTCCATGTCCAGTGTGGGGGGGTCGGGGGACATTTTGGAGAACACAGCAAAAGCATGTGATGCCCGAGCCCCCCCAACTCGAAGTTCGGGTCTTCGGGTCGGGCTGGGGTGGTCAGGCGAAGCTCGAACATGCCTAAGGCCTCCGGGAGACTCCTCGCCCCACGGCTCGATTCGCCTCGAAGAATCTGGGCCGCAGCGCGCCCCAGTGGGAGGTCCGGGGACCAATGTTTGCGGCAGGGGCACCGCAGGAGAGGCAGCAGGCCGTGTGCTGGCCTCGGTGGCGTCTACAAGAATCTGACCAGTCGTTGAACCAGGGGATACGTCTGGCATGTCCCTCGACACGGGGGATACTCACAAAATAGTCCGGGGACGAATTTTCCTACTATACTAGTTTTCGCTGTGTTCGCACATGTCTTTACTATTTCCAGCGTTTCTTTCAAGCTCCGCCTTTAGGAGGACATGCCCGACCTAGCGCAAGAATCTGATCAGTCGTGAGGCCTGGGGATAGGGGTCAAGAGCTCTGGGAGGCTTTGCCGCTCAAAAGACAAAGTCGCCCAGATGTTTTGTTTCCAAGAATTCTTTCCTTACTTCCCAACCTTTCTGTTGGGGCGTGGGGATGGGGTCGAGAGCTCTTGGAGGCCTCGCCGTTGGAACCACGAAGACCCCCAGAGTTGTTTTTGTTCCAGAGTTGTTTCGCTACTTCCCAACCTTTCTGTGGGTCTGGGCCCTCGCTTTGAGTATACGCAGCGCCCCGCCCCACCGGATCCTCATCCCTCTCCCCCCCCCTCTTCCCTCACCTCCTCCTGCCCTGGCCCATTTCGGCACGCCCCTCACTCGATCGTGTCCCACTAGGACCTCCACCTGGAGGCGGAGGACACGAACTTGGGGCCATATATGGCCTCGAGTTCGCAGGCCCACCGTTCCGCCCGTTCAGGCAAACCCCTCACACCTGCCGGCCCGTGCGGAGCTCCACCTGCGGCCCCCAGTGGGCAGATTCGCTTTGGCACCGCGCTCTTTGCGGTGCTCCCCTCGCACGCTGCGTGTGTCCCACGGGGGGCTCCACCCACGACCGCAGAGTCAGGCGCCGCATGCTGCCGCGCCCCCGACCCTTGCGGCACACTCCTCGTGCGTTCGAATGCCACATGGACTTTCTTGTTTCGGAGGCGAAAAATCAGCCGAAAGACAAATGTTCGGCGCTCCGCGCGTATTTCTTGGATCTGCGCTGGGCTCCCCTGGCGGCGCCTCTGGCACCGCCCCTGGCGCGCCCCGCGCGCCAGGGAGGGGGGTCAGCCCAGATTTAAGAAATCCGCACGGAGCACCGAAAGTTTATTTCTATTCCGTTTTGTGCTCTTTATATTTACAGCCTCGATTGATCATTGGATCCTGGAAGTTTCCAGTCGTGACCGACGAGAACGGTCGCTACGGATTTTGCTCCGTCGCGACCGATCGGTCGCGATCAGTGGCGATCCATCGCGACCAACTTGGGGATCAGTCGCGATCCGTCGCGACCGATTCGGAGTGCCGATCGGTCGCTATATCGATCGCGACCGAAAAAATGGGGTATCCAATGATCTGGGTCAGGGAAGGTCTGTATGCCTCCGGCCCCACTTTGTATACCCCTCGCACGGACCAGGCCGCTTTCACCGAGCGCGTTCCACTACTCGCAAAGTGCCCACTCGCAAACGCCTGAGAAAATTTGTCGTCCTCCGTGTACAGGATCGTGATTCCCCCGTGGGGGATCCAGGCCAACTGCAAGCATCTGCTCTGCGAGTGGAACGCGCTTGTCGACGCACGGACGGTTCCGCCCACGCCCACCGCCACGCCGCGGCTCGCCCGCCGCGCCGTCGCCCGCCTTTGCTGGCGCCGCCGTCGCACGGCATCGGGCCCAGCTCCGCGTGCGGCCCCGGAGAGGGCTCGCACGCCGCACCGACGACGACGACGACGACGACGACGACGACGACGACGACGACGACGACGACGACGACCTGGGCGGCTCTATGTACGGCCGCAGAGACGAGGGTTGCAGGTCACTCCCTCGCCCACTCGGAGTCGGCACACCCTTCGAGCGCCTCGTGCCCCACGGGCTTCTCCGACGGCCCCTGAGGCAGCGTTCGCATGCCGCCCCCGCCCGCTCGGCATGCCCCTCATACGTTTCGTGGCCTCGGGGGGCTCGACCTACGCTCCCAGAGACAGGGTTCGGCCCGGACACCGCCCCGGCCGATTCCAGCAGACCTCCAGGGTCCACCGGAGGTCCCCACGCAGGGCCCCGGAAACAGGACGGGTGTGCCCATTTCGGCACACCCGTCACGCAGAGCAGATGCCCCAGACTTCCGCCTGCGGCCCCAGGAAACGACGGTTCGCATCCGGCACCCCGCCCCTTTTCGGCACACCCCATCACGCTTCGTGCCGCGCAGGGAGCTCCACCTGCGGCACCCGTGGGCAAAGGTTCCGCCGCCGATTCCAGCGCACCCCTCACGCGGCTCGTGCCCCGCTGGAGTTGTTGCTGCACGTCTGCGCGCTCGCTCTCTCTCTTTCTCTCTCTCTCTCTCTCTCTCTCTCTCTCTCTCTCTCTCTCTCTCTCTCTTTTTACCTAACAGCGAAGACTGATAGGTTTCTACAAGACTCAAAAGAGAGCAGCAGATGACTCCACAGGGGGGTCTGGGCGGGTGCCGGACAGGGTGCCGCAGAACTCATTTTAAGCCAACAGTCGCACACTTCGTGCTCTTCGACTTCCCAGAACTCCATTCCCGGGCCACATTTTGAATGCCCGGAGCCAACTGTAGGCCACTTCGTGCTCTTCGATTTCCCAGAACTCCATTCCCGGGCCACATTTTGAATGCCCGGAGCCAACTGTAGGCCACTTCGTGCTCTTCGAGTCCCAGAACTCCATTCCGGGCCACATTTTGAATGCCCGGAGCCAACTGTAGGCCACTTCGTGCTCTTCGAGTTCCCAGAACTCCATTCCCGGGCCACATTTTGAATGCCCGGAGCCAACTGTAGGCCACTTCGTGCTCTTCGAGTTCCCAGAACTCCATTCCCGGGCCACATTTTGAATGCCCGTAGCCAACTGAGGCTGAGGCAGGCTGCTGCTGAGGCAGGCTGAGGCTGAGGCTGAGGCAGGCTGAGGCTGAGGCAGGCTGAGGCTGAGGCTGAGGCTGAGGTTGAGGCTGAGGCTGAGGCTGAAGCAGGCTGAGGCACACGCTGAGGCAAGCTGATGCTGAGGCAGGCTGAGGCTGAGGCTGAGGCTGATGCAGGCTGAGGCTGAGGCTGAGGAAAAGGTTGAGGCTGAGGCTAAGGTTGAGGCTGAAGCTGAAGCAGGCTGAGGCTGAGGCTGAGGCAGGCTGAGGCTGAGGCTTAGGCAAGCTGATACTGAGGCAGACTGAGGCTGAGGCTGAGGCAGGCTGAGGCTGAGGCAGGCTGAGGCTGAGGCAGGCTGAGGCAGGCTGAGGCAGGCTGAGGCTGAGGCTGAGGCTGAGGCTGAGGCTGAGGATGAGGCAGGCTGAAGCAGACGCTGAGGCAGGCTGAGGCCGAGGCTGAGGCAGGCTGTGGCTGAGGCTGAGGCTGAGGCAGGCTGAGGCTGAGGCTGATGCAGGCTGAGGCTGAGGCAGGCTGAGGCTGAGGCTGAGGCTGAGGCTGAGGCTGTGGCTGTGGCTGAGGCTGAGGCTGAGGCAGCTGAGGCAGACGCTGAGGCAGGCTGAGGCTGAGGCAGGCTGAGGCTGAGGCTGAGGCTGAGGCAGGCTGAGGCTGAGGCCGAGGCTGAAGGCAGACTGAGGCTGAGGCTGAAGCAGGCTGAGGCTGAGGCCGAGGCAGGCTGATGCTGAGGCTGAGGCAGGCTGATGCTGAGGAAAAGGTTGAGGCTGAGGCTGAGGCAGGCTGAGGCTGAGGCTGAGGCAGGCTGAGGCTGAGGCTGAGGCAGGCTGATGCGGAGGCAGGCTGAGGCTGAGGCTGAGGCTGAGGCTGAGGCTGATGCAGGCTGAGGCTGAGGCAGGCTGAGGCTGAGGCCGAGGCTGAAGGCAGGCTGTGGCTGAGGCTGAGGCTGAAGCAAGCTGAGGCTGAGGCTGAGGCAGGCTGAGGCTGAGGCTGAGGCAGGCTGATACTGAGGCAGGCTGAGGCTGAGGCTGTGACTGTGTCTGCCGTTGCCACTGCGACTGTCATCGCGAATGCGACTGCGACTGCGAGAACAGGAGAATTCTACAACTGGATTCTCATCTGGATCTTAAGGGGAATGTTTCCATATATGCTTCTACACATCGCTACATAGCGTGCTGCCTGCTCCTGCAGCGCCACCAGCGTGCCTTGCAGCGCTTGCATCATTCGGACTGGAGCGATGTCATGCACTGGATCCACTGCAACTGTGAACTCTGCCACATTCTCATGCAGGTAGGCCATGTCAGGCTGTTCTGCTGCTTCTCCGTCTTTGTCTGTCTCTTTCTCCTCGTCAGACTCGTCTCCCGCCTCGTCGTCTCTGCCCACTTCCGGCGCTCTGGATGCTGGCCCCAACAGACGTACCGGGGCTTTGTCCGCACCGTCCACTGGTTGCAGACAGGCTTGGATGTGGTCTGGCACGCCGTCATTGTCCAGGCCCCTTCATAATCATCCATTCATCATCCATTTCGTTGTCCGTGCCTCTGTATGCTCAACCCACTTTTCTGTTCTGTATATTGAATGCGCTGCTTCACCACGCCCCGCGGTGCTTCTCAGCCTGCCTAGTCATTTACGGTTCTTTCAGCCAACTAGCGATGGTCAAGAAATTGGTTTCAAAAAAAATCTGCGACCAAAAGGTATCGACCCGCGCTGGCCCCTGGCATGGAGAAGAAAGATTTGGCCACTCCGAGGAGTGCAACTCTTCATTCGCTTCGCTCATTCCGCCGGCCCATGTTGTAGCATCGCT